AGTATACACAAAATTCCTACTATAGGGCCCTGTGCATTGTAGGCATTCAGCAGTGGATGGTAATCGTTACGACATTTGGCTTTAGCTACTTGGGGATCAGGGGAGAATGAGAAACCTTTAAATTATGTAGTCTTATTGTCAAACATGAGGAAGTCTTACTTGTTTCTCAGGAGGAAGTCTGGGTTATAGTTCTGGTGACCACTTGGCCTTAAGCAGATCTGTGTTCCTTCCGAGGGGTCTCCCTTTTTTGTGGGTGAGCCCAAGGGACTTTAACTTTTGTGATTTATCCTCTTTCTCCAGAGAGACCTCTGGGCTTGTACTCCTCTCCAGCTGCCCTCAGACAGCAAGCCGCCTCCAGAAGTTCTTCATCCACTCACGGAGAGCACAGAGACCCACAGCCACCTACTGGTGAGAGGTGCCGGGAGGCTCCTGGGGAGTAGGGGGGTCCTGGCAAGCCGCCTAGTGACCTCCTCCTGCCTCTCTCTCAGTGCTGTCACTGATGGGATCCCAGCTTCTTCTGAGGGGAATATCCAAGTCGCTCTGAAACTGGAACACATTGATGGCATTGATCTAGTGAGTCATGATCTGGGAGGGAACAGGAGGGGACTTTCCAAATATATTATCCCTACAGAGGAGTCAGGGGTATAGACTTGGGGTGGCTGGCTCTCCTGTCCCCTAAAATAGGCAAGTGACCACTGCTTATACTCTGGCTCCATCTTTTGGGAGGAGCAGAGAGGGTCTGGGCGTAGCTCCAGATGTGTGTGAAGCTTGTTCATTCTTGGGCTGACACTACAGGTAATTCCAGTGAAGTCCCCATCCCGAAAGGACTTGCAAGAAGGTGTCAAGAGGACCCTCAGCCATTTCCATGTGGTGGCCAGGGGCTCTGGCTGTGCCCTGGTCCAGCTGCAGCCACTGACAGGTGGGTGTGGAACCCTGGCCAGCCTTCATAACTGTATTTGGCTGGGGGAGGTAAGGAGGGTGGGAGGAAGGTGGTGGTGTTAATGGCAGCTTGGGGAGCATTTGATGGATTCCAAGGGTATAGCCCAGCTAGAGGAGGCAGCGCTTCTGCTGCCAGTCTGATCATCATTCCTTTGTAGCCCATCTGTTTTCTTCTCTTACTTGTTGGTCTCAGGATCTTCTCTTTGTCTTTGGTGTTCTGTGGTTTCACTGTGCTGAATCTAGGTGTGTGGGCTTAGTTTTATTTATCTTGCTTGGAATTCACTTTGCTTCCTGAATCTGAAGATTAATATGCTTCATCAATCCGAGAAAGTTCTTTCTCTTCAAATGTTGCACCTCTTGCATTTTCTCTATTCTCTTCCTTTTGAATGCCTAAGAGATGTGTCTGACCTTCTCATTCTACTTACTAAGTCTCTTTTTCATATTTTTCATTTCTTCATCCCTGCTGCATTCTTGGTAATGTCTGTCTTTTTTTTTTTTTAAAGATTTTATCCATTTATTTATTAGCAAGTGAGCGAGAGAGAAACAGCATGAGAGGGGAGAGGGTCAGAGGGAGAAGCAGGCTCCCCGCCGAGCCGGGAGCCCGATGTGGGACTCGATCCCAGGACTCCGGGATCATGACCTGAGCCGAAGGGAGTCGTTTAACCAACTGAGCCACCCAGGCGCCCTTGGTAATTTCTTTAGATCTATTTTCCAGGTGAATAATTTTCTGTTCAGTTGGATCTAATCTGCCAGTTCAGCCCACCTGTTGACTGTATTTTTCTTCACTTCTAGAAGTTCTGTTTGGAATAAATAAAATCTTTAAAAAAAAAAAAAAAAAAAGGGCGCCTGGGTGGCTCAGTTGGTTAAGTGACTGCCTTCGGCTCAGGTCATGATCCTGGAGTCCCTGGATCGAGTCCCGCATCGGGCTCCCTGCTCGGCAGGGAGTCTGCTTCTCCCTCTGACCCTCCCCCCTCTCATGTGCTCTCTCTCATTCTGTCTCAAATAAATAAATAAAATCTTTAAAAAAAAAAAAAAAAAGAAGTTCTGTTTGGTTGTTTTACAAATAAAAATGGCCTTATATAGCATTTTTTTTCTCATATTATTTGTTCAGGTTAAATATACTGATACTGTATTTCTACATTTTCATTGTCTGAAATTCTGGAGGGCCTAATCCTATGATGTTTCATACTGACTCTCACACTTGGTAGATTGTTTCATTGCTCTGTGATTCAGGATTGTGAATTCAAGTTCAGCTGGGCCTTTATCTGTGGAAAGCTTGTGTTGCCTCACTGTAGGTAGGGCCCTCGGGAGAGGTTCTGCCTTTGCTTCTGCCAAATGCCCCAGAGCTGTCACTGCTTCAGGATCTCCTTAAATATTAATGTCTTGGTTGGAAGTTCACAGATCACTCTGGTATTAATTTGGGTCCCAAGTCTGTGTGAGATCAGGCTCATGGTTGTGAATTCTTAGAGGAAAACTTCTTCATTCCCCTCGTCCACACCTATGGTGATCATCTGCCTTCATCAGTGGCTGGCTTTTTCTCCTGGTTCACCCCTTCACTGAAGATATAGCCCCTCTAGGATTTCATTTGGGTACCACGGCCTCAGCCCTGGCCCCTAGGTAGCTATTTAAACCGAAGACCCTTGGATACCAAGATTTGCAGCATCCCTAGAATAGATGAAACGTTGGCTCTTGTGTGCTGTGGATTTGTTTTCCATTGGTTTTGATCTTGGGGACCTTACTTTCCTATGCCCGGCTGCTATTTAAAAGGATGATTATTATATTTTTCTGGTGTTTCCAGGTGGTTTATAGAGAATTTTTAGATTATCCAGTCCACCATATTGCCAGACATGGAAGCAGAGCACAGCTCCTGGGTTTGAATCCCAGCCTATGGTGCTGGGCAAGTCACTTCTTTTTGAGCTTCAGTTTTCTGTGTGTAAGATGGGAATGCTGATAGGACCCGCTTTATTGGGCCTTATTGGGCTGCCATGAGGATTAAATTAAATTAAATAAATTTACATATGTGAAGCACTTTGTACCATGCCTAGCACACCATAGCCCTCCATTCCTGTCTTTGTCAAGTTTCCCAAAAACCTGTTCAAATTGGGGTAGGCCAAAAACAGGGAATGTATTGGCTCCCCTAACTTAAAGTTTAGGTGTGGCTAGATCTAGAGGCTCAGAGGATGTCCTCTGGAAGCTCTTTCTCCTTTCTTCTTGCCTCCTGCATGTTGGCTTTTCCCTCCCACAGGCTCTCCTCTGGGCAAGGTAGAGATGGCCAGGGCCTCTGGCAGCTCCAGGCCTGCACCCCACCAGTTTAGTACCCTAGCAGGAAAAAGCATTCCTTATTTCCAGTAGCTTCAGCAGTAAATTCGGGCTTGTATCTCTTCATGCGCAAATCCCACAGGCCAGGTGGATTGATGGTTATGACTGTGCTGACCTGGTCTTGCACTTGGAGGCAGGGGCAGGAGCACTGACCTCACTGAAACCACATCCGTGGGGAACAGGAGTGCAGGGATGGTGTTTCCCCAGAGGAAAGGAGGAGGGAGGATCCTGGGTGGGACAGAAAGAGCAGCTGCCCACCATCTGTCCTGTCTCCTGTCCCCCAGTGTTCCCCAGTCAGCTGCAGGTACACCTGGTCCTGCAGCTCTGCCCTGTGCTTGGGGATCACACATACTCGGCCCGTGTGGGCACCGTCCTGGGCCAGCGCTTTCTACTGCCCGCCGAGAGCACCAAGCCCCAAAGACAGGTACCCACACCCACCGATCTGCTGTTTCCAGGGGTGGGCTGTGGGGTGAGGATGGGCAGCACCTTCAGACATTAGCTGTGAAGTCTGGGACTGAGTGGCAGTCCTCTTGGCTTCCAAGGCTATCCATAGTCCTATCTTACCGTGTGGCCTTGAGCAAGTAACATCCCCTCTCTTAGACCTCATTCTGCCCTTCTGTTCAATGAGGGACTTGAACTGGCTGATTTCTCAAGGCCCTTTTAAATCTGTTCTTTAAGTCCCTGGTATAAGGGCTAAACGTAACTGTGTGTGTGTGTGTTAGGGTAACTCTATCTGCTCTAACAGAGTAACCCCAAAGTCCCAGAGTTTAACACAGTAGTTTCCCTCCACATTAAATCTAATGAATGGGGGTGGGGCAGGGGTGGGCTTTACTCCAAGCAGTCACTCAGGGACCCAGGCCACTGCTATCCAGCCAGCCCATGAAGGGAGACAGTGCAGTGCAGGTCTGTATGGGAGGTTTTCACGAGCCAGGTCTGGAAGTGGCATATACTTGCCCTCCTGTTCCATTGGCTAAAACTATCACGTGGCCTCACCAAACTGCAAGAGGGACTCAGAAATGTTTAGCTGTGTGCCAGGTGGGAACTGATTTGGTGGACCCTAGCCAGTCTCTGCCATAGTGTGACGGTATGTGTCAGTATGTGTGTAGAGAAGAAATGAATAAGAAACTATGGACATGGAGGGAGGGAGGAAGTACCTGCCTTACTTCCATTTTGGTTAGAGCTGGTTGGAACTCAACCTGGCTGAATGCTGACACGCCTCTCCCACCCCAGGTTCTGGATGAAGCCCTCCTCAGACACCTCCACCTGACCCCAGCCCAGGCTGCCCAGCTGCCCTTGCATCTCCACCTGCATTGTCTCCATCTTCCAGGCATGAGGCCCAGGGAGGCCCCCATGAAGCTTCTGGCACCCCTGCCCCCTTATTTTTCCAGGACCCTACAGTGCCTGGGGCTCCACCAACAATAGTCCTCTTTCTGTTCCTTCTGTTTCCACTGGAAAGCAGTGGGGATGGGGTGGGGGGTGGGGCGGAAGGATGAACCTACGGTATCAGGCTTGAGGAGAATGCAGTCAGTGCGCAACATGCACTAAGGCCATGCTTTAAGGTCCTGGGCTCTGCATTCGGACAAACCTAAGCTCAAAGCCTGGCTAGGCCACTTGCTGTATGGTATCAGGCAGATGACTTCATCTCTCTGGACGGGAGTTAATAAAAGTACCTACCTCACAGTGTGGTTTTGAGGATTTGCTGAGAAAGTAAACGTTTATCATGGAGCATGCTTTCTGCTGAGTTCAATATATGGTGTTTTTATTTGGCTGTTTCCCAGTTCTAGCTGAGAGGAAATGTCTGATTTTTTTGTTGTCGTTTAATTGTGGTAAAATACACATAGCAAAATTTACCATCTTAACCATTTTTAAGTGAACAGTTCAGTGGCATTAAGTACATGCACATTGTGGTGCAACCGTCACATCCCATCATCTTGAAGAACTGAACCTCTGCCCCATTAAACACTGACGCCCCATCCACTCCTTCCAGCCCCCAGTAGCCGCCATTCTCCTCTGTCTCTATGAATCTGACTATTCTGGGGACTGCATGTAAGTGAAGATCTTAGATCTTTTACTTGAAAAAATTGTGAAATATATCAAACATACAAAGAGTACATAAATAGCTCTGTGATTTAAAGAATAATTACAAGGTGACACCCATATAACCACCACTCAGGGCACAAAATAGAAACATGCCTCTCCTTCCTTGTTAGGGTAGCAATTCTCAATGCTGGCCCTATATTAGAACTCCCTCAGCGAAGCTTTTAAAAAGCCCCTTCCTACCCTGGGATTCTGCACCCCAAAGTTACCAATTTTATCAATCTGGGCTGGAGATCCTGACATCAATCTTTTTTAAAGCTCCTGAAGGGGTTCTATTGTTCAGTCTAGGTTGGAACCCCCTCCCCTGACATGGGAGCTTTCCTTGCTTAAGTTTTTCCACATACATACACATCCCTAAACAATATATTTTGTTTTGCCCAATTCTGAAGTTTCCATAAATGGAGTCATGCTATATATGTATATTCTTTTGTGATTTGTTCTTGTTCCACACTGTGAAATGCATCTGTGATGCATGGTGGGTTTGAATGCCTGTGCATGACTATACCAGTTTATCCATTCTACTGTTAATGTCATCGTTCAGCTGTTAGCACAACACTGGTGTGAACCTGCTTGTATGCATTTCCTGGTTCAATTATGCAAGAGATGCTGTCAGAGTATATGTATCTTCACTTGACTAGTGTATTAGTTTCCCAGGACTGCTGTAACAAAATTAGCACAACCTGAGCAGTTTAAAATAACAGAAACTGATTTTCTCAGAGATCTGTTTGGAGGCCAGAAGGCTGAGATGAAGGTGTCGACAGGGCCGTGTCCTCTGAAGCCTCTAGAGATGAATCCTTGCCTCTTCCAGCTTCTGGGGGCTGCAAGCTTTGACTCATGGCTGCATCACGTCAGTCTGCCTTCATCTTCACGTGGTCTTCTTGTGTCTGTGTCTTCTCTTACAAGGACACTTGTCATTGGATTTAGGGCCCACCTGGATAATCCAGAGTACTCTCATCTCAAGATCTTTAACTTAATACATCTATGAAGACCATTTTTCCAAAGAAAGTTATTCACGGGTTCCAGGCAGATGTATCTTTTGCGGGGAAGAGAGGCTACCATTCAACTCACTACAACTAAGAAATGCCAAAGTTTTTCAGATGGGTGTGGCTGGTTGGGTATTTCCTTTCTAGGTGACCATGGCCCCTTGCTGAGGAAGGGACAGACCAACTCCCTCTGGAGAAGGGCTGGTGTTTCGGCAAGGTCCATCCTTCCCCCATCTCATGTTGTAAATCTGATGCCCGTTAGATGTCACTCTGCTGCCAGCCCAGGTTCTCCCCTGGGCTTGGGGCTTGGAGATCTCCCAGTGGTGAGCAGTCTGGCAATATGTCCTAGCCTTCTCACTGCCACATGATCTTGGGCAAGCCATGTCTCCTTGTTCAGACTCCGTTTCTTCAACTACAACGTGAGGCTTATCCCCCAATCCAAGATCGGAGATGCCAGAGAGTCCCTGCATAGAAAGCCCCATGTCTGTCACTAGGGGGTGGAATTCTGGCCCTTTGCTTTGTGGAGAGGCTGCTGATGGTCTCCACAGCTCTCATTCTGGACCTTGGGGTTTAGGGCCCCAGCCTACCCTCTTCTTCACCCTCCAATAGAAATGGAGCCAAGCCCAGGATACTTCACTTGCTCCTTTTTATTTGGTGTTGCATCCAGGATAGGGGCAGTGAGGACCGAAGCAAGGGCTTTTCTAGCCTCACGTCCCCTATGCCCCCTAGCCCCTGGTATGCATTGATAAAGGGCAGGGGTCCTGGAAGGCTCAGTGTCTTCATGAGGCATGCCTCAGCCTTGGGTTTGTCACGGAGTCTGGTCTTGAACTTGCCTTTGGCCTTGACCTTCCTGTGGGTGCTAGGAAGATTTCCAACTTCGAAGGGTAGAGGCCACAGGCACCTCCAGGATGGGAACCACGAAGGCGCTGGGGAGCAACAGCCTCGGTGTGAAAGGGGGGAAGAGGTGGAAGAAATGATCAGGAAATCTGTTCAGGAAGGGGGTTCTGAGGACAAAAGCCCTTCCCCTGGGGCTACAGCCAGCCTGGGACCTGCCCTTGCCTGGGCCCTCCAGCCCTGACCCCAGAGCCCAGGATTCAGCACTGCCCACCAGGGTGCCAGTCACAGCTCAAGGCCCACCTTTCTTGGTTTCAGGACACTGGATGCCAACTTGAGCTCAGGGTTAGGTGGGAAGGAAATCAAAACCTTGGCAGTAGGTAGAGTCATCAAGGCCTTGCCTGTGGTCGACAGGGCCTTAGAGCCCACCAACTTGCTGTGTTGCAGTCTGAGGACCCGCCCCTGGGATCGGAGCACATGGGGAGAAGACAGCCGGGCCTTGGTGTGGAGGCTGGGGAAGTGGTAAGGGGCTGTGGGAGCAAAAGGGGCCATGAGGGCCTGGGGAGGGTCCAAGGCTGACCTGCCCCTCAAGGAGAGCGTGGAGGGTGGGGAGGTGGGGGAAGATGAGGGCTGGGGTGTGAGATGGCAAGTGGAGCCCTCCCAGTTCCTCCTCCAGAGGCCGTGGGAAGAACACAGGATTTGGAGTCCAACAGACCTGGGCCTGCATCCCAGCTCTGCCCCTTCTGAGATGTGCAACCTCGGGCAACTTCCTCAAACTTCCTGATACCTCGGCTGGAAAATGGGGATAATAGCACCTACCTTGCTAGGTTGTGAGGACTAAAGGAGCTGGCAGAGTGCGAACTGTTAAGTGCTGTACAAACATTAGCTCCTTCCCCCCAGAGGCAACTTTGCGTGGAGGCAAAGGCAGAATACTGCAGCAGGAAAAGCTTGGGCTCTGGAGAGAGATGGGCCTGGGACTGAGTCCTGGCATCTGAAGTAAGTCCAACTGCCTTGCGGGGTGGCTACTTTGGAGGGAACACTACTCATTTGGTCATGCATTTTTAAAAAATGCTTTTAAGTGGTGGCTTTTCCTTGCTACTGGTGTCTTTTTGGTGGGGCTATGGTGGGGGTGCAAATCCAGGTGGTTAGGAGGGGGGGCTTGGAGAGCAGGAAGAAATTGCCTTGGGACCCTGGGGTGTTTTGGGGGAGTGGTCTTACCCAGGGCCTGGGGGTTCTTCAGACTCAATGGCAATCTGTTCAAGGGGTGGGGTTGCCTGTCCCCACTAGCAAAGGTCATGGTGAAAATGCAGCCCATCCTGGTGCTGGGGGGCTCCCACTTCCGGAGATTGGGGTTGACCAGGGCTGTGGCACTTTTCGCCTTGCCTTTCTTCCCCTTTCCAGGGGCCGAGGTGGTGGCAGTGGAGGCTGGCTTCTCAGTGTGCCCCAGGCTCCTGGCCCCAGCAACTTTCCTAGGAGCTGACCTGTGGGTAAGGGTCCCCGAGTCCTTGCCTTCCCCAGAGCCTCTCTGGGTCAGCAGGTGAGGGAGTGCTGGGTGGACCCCCATCCGCCGGTGACACATTGCCAGGGGCTTCTTGATGGTGGAGCCCTCTACTAGGAGCCGGATACCCACATACTGGGGTACCTCCACGGCAGGCTGTGGGAAAGAAGAGGAGATGAGGCCTGTTCAGACAGTGATGCTGGAATTGTAGGCCCAGAAGGAATCAGGGCAAAGATGGATGGAATTAATTTCTGGGCTAAGAAACAGGAAGCCCACCTCTGTCCTCTAAGGAGTCTGGCTCCGTTGGCCTGAATCAGTACCTAGAAAGTCACAGAGCCCCTGGGATTAGTAACCCAGTGGAGTTAAGGAGTCTTAGCCATGCTACCACCAGCACCTCCTACCCTTTGCCCTCCCCTAAGCTCTCCCAGCCCCTGCTGGAATGTGAATGTCTCTGCTCCACAAGCCACTGCTGATGGACAACTTCCTGAATTAAGCCAGATTCTCTGCAGACGGAATTTGAGTTATGTCACCCAGACAGATAAGAGGCTTGGAGACTGCCTGGAGCCCTGCATGAACCCATTGTGGGGAAGCAGAAATTAAGAGCCTTAATGAAGGCATTCGACCAAGAGAATGAAATAGCAAATTTGCAGAAGGAGGCAGAGAAAAAGGTTCAAGAGAGGAGCTCCTGTATGACTTTCACAATTTTCACAATATTAAGCCAGCTGTACAACCTGTAGCTAGGCTCCAGGAGAGCCCCCTGTGTCTTGGTAATGACCCCCTTTTAACCTTGAGCTACTTTGAGGTATTTTCTGTGTCAACAAAGGATCCTGATTAGAATCTATCTAAACATCAGAGTCACTTGGAGCTTGTTAAAAATACAAATATCAGAGCTCCCGCAAAGCCCAACTGATACAAGAGGCAAGAATCAAAACTGGGTATCAGAACAGGGCAGTGAAAAGGATAACAGGAAAATGTGTCATGTGCACACAGCCTAGGCATCACTTTACAAAGTAAGTGATCATTGCAAAAGGGAGGATCCAACTTACAATAGAGAGATCTGGTAGCCACCACCTTAACCCCGTGGCCAGACTTAGCATCACTAATCAGGAGACACTCCAACAGTGTGTGCCTTGTGATATCACATGGGGCACCCAGCATCACCTCTCAAGTGTTCTTGCCAAAAATGTTTAACCTGAACCTCATCAAGCTGTTTGGCCTGACTTCTAGTTTATAGGACATTGAGATAACAGAAGAACAAGCTAAACAGCACCACGAAGAAAAAATCAGATAAATCCAGAATGTGGGACAGTTCTACAAAACAACCAGCCTGGTCCCTTCGAAAGATCCAAACAAACTATGGGGAGGGGGGCGGGGGGAAGCAGTGCCGCCGCTCTAGATTAAAAGAGATGAAAGAGCACCCAAAGGAATACAAACCTGTAATAAATGTAATCAAAGAAGTGAAAGACCTTACATTGAAAAGTAAGATACCAACAAGAAAAACTGAAGACACAAATAAATGGAAAGATATTCTGTGCTCATGGATTGGAAGAATTAATGTTCCTAAAATGTCCACACGACCCAAAACAATCTACAAATTCAATGCAATCTCTTTCAAAATTCCAATGGCATTTTTCACAAAAATAGAAAAACAATCCTAAATCTTATATGGAACCACAAAAGACCCTGCACAGTCCAAACAATTTTTTTTTTTTTAAGATTTTTATTTTTAAGTCATCTCTATACCTAACATGGGGCTCAAACTCAGGACCCTGAGATCAAGAGTCACACACTCCACCGACTGAGCCAGCCAGGAGCCCCCGAACCAATTTTGAGAAAGAAGAACAAAGCTGGAAGCATCACACTCACTGACTTCAAACTATACTACAAAGCTATAGCAATCAAACAGTATGGTACTGGCATAAAAACAGACACCTAGATCAATTGAACAGAATACAGAGTTGCCCAGAAATAAACCCACACATACAAGGTGAACTAATTTATGACAAAGGAGGTATGAGTATTCAATGGGGAAAGGACAGTCTCTTCAATAAATGGTGCTGGGAAAACTGGAAGCCACATTCAAAAGAATGAACCCAGACCACTATCTATAACACACATAAAAACCAACTCAAGATGGATTAAAGTGAATTTAAGACCTGAAACCATAAACCTCCTAGAAGAAAACACAGGCAGTACTAAGCTCCTTGACATCAGTCTTGGCAAGGATTTTTTGGATTTGATACGAAAAGCAACGGTAACAAAAGCAAAAATAAACACATGGGACTACATCTAACTAAAAAGCTTCTGCACAACAAAGGAAACCATCAACAAAGTAAAAAGGCAACCTGCCAAACAGGATAAAATATTTGCAAATCATATATCTGATAAGGGGCTAATATCTAAAATATATAAAGAACTCCTACAACTCAATGGCAAAAACACAAATAATCTGATTTAAAAATGGGCAGAGGATCTGAACAGATATTTTTCCAGAGATGACAGACAGATGGCCAACAGGCACATGAAAAGGTGCTCAACATCACTAATCATGGGAGAAATGGGATATCACCTCACATGTGTTAGAATGGCTATTTTCAAAAAGGTAAGAAACAAAAGTGTTGGTAAGGGTGTGAAGAAAAGGGAACCCTTGTGAGCTGTTAGTGAGACTATAAACTGGTGCAGACCCTGTGCAAGATAGTATGGAGGGGCGCCTGGGTGGCTCGTTGTTAAGCGTCTGCCTTTGGCTCAGGTCATGATCCTGGGGTACTGGGATCGAGCCCTGCATCAGGCTCCCTGCTCCGCGAGAAGCCTGCTTCTCCCTCTCCCACTCCCCCTGCTTGTGTTCCCTCTCTCGCTGTCAAATAAATAAGATGTTAAGAAAAAAAAAATAGTATGGAGCTTCCTCAAAAAATTAAAAATAGAACTACCACACGATCCACCAATTCCACTTCTGAGTATTTACCTGAAGGGGAAAAAAAATTACTAACTTGAATAAATAATCTGCACCCCCATGTTCATGGCAGTGTCCATCAATGGATGAACGAATACAGAAAATGTGTCTGTCTGTTTAGCTAGCTAGCTAGCTAGCTATCATGGAATATTATTTAGACATAAAACAGAAGGAAATCTTGCCATTTGTGACAAAATGGCTGGGCTTTGAGGGCATTATGCTAAGTGAAATAAGTCAGGGAGAAAGACAAATATCTCATGATGTAAATTAAATGTGGAATCTAAAATAAAAACAAAAACAAAACCCAAAACTCTGAACTCATAGATAGAGAACAGATTAGTAGTTGCCAGAGGCAGTAGGCGAAATGGATGAAGGGGGCCAAAAGGTACAAACATCCAATTATAGAATAAGCAAATCACAGGGGTGCCTGGGTGGCTCAGTCAGTTAAGCGGCTGACTCTTGATTTCAACTCAGGTCATGATCTCAGGGTTATAAGATTGAGCCCCTGGTCAGTCTCCGTGCTGGGCATGGAGCCTGCTTAAAATTCTATCTCTCCCTCTCCCTCTGGCCCTCCCCACCCTGCTCTCTCCCTCTCCCTCTCTAAAAAAAAAAAAAAAAAGTAAATCATAGATGTAATGTACAGCATGGTAACTATAGTTAATACTGTATTGCATATTTGAAAGTTGCTAAGAGAGTAGATCTTAAAAGTTTTCATCAGAAGAAAATAAAATTATAACTATGTGTGGTAATGGATGTTAGCTAGACTTATTGTGGTCGTCATTTCACAACATATACAAATATCGAATATATACATATACAAATATTGTATACTTTAAGTGAATATAAGACTGCATGTCAATTACACCTCAATAAGAAAAAAACTTCAGAGAGATCTAAGTCCTTTAAAGCAGCTACAGATCTTTTAAGCATTCCAAGGCATACCTACAGGTCTTATGTTTAAATCTTTAATACATTTTAAGTTAACAGGGAGGGTTATAGGCACTCTCTGTTAACAGTAGGGCTTCTGTAATTGTGCGGGCTGTTGTCCTACAGCAGCGTCATAGGAAGAAGAGTTCTAGGATTTGTGGATATGGATTTTGTGTAATAGCATAGATTATAAATTGATACCTAAGAAACCCACAATGTTTTTAAAATCCACTTGAACAGAAAGGGACAGATACAATATGAAATGAAAAAGGCTTTTGTATCCCCAAATTTCTATGAGCAAGTAACAGACTAAGAACTATTGAGGATGTTCATGGAAAAGGAAGGATGATTCAGGGCTGAACTGAGATCCCAGTGGATGGAAGCAAGAGCCATGGAGAACTCCTAGGAAGTAACAATGGGTCTTAACAGCAAAACTGGAAATATGGCAAGGCTAGATTTCAGAGTTGTTATGGACCAGTGCTTCCTGTGTACCTCCTACCCTGCCTCAATGCCAAGTGTGTATCTTGATTATATGTTAGTTTAAAAAACAAAAACAGGGGCGCCTGGGGGGCTCTGTCCACTGAGTATCTGATTCTTGATTTGGGCTTGGGTTGTGGTCTTGGAGTTGTGGGATTGAGCTCCGCATCAGGCTCCGTACTAGGCTCCGCACTCAGTGCAAAGTCTGCTTGAGAATCTCTCGCTCTCTCTCTCCCTCTGTCCCTCCCCCTGCTTATGCTCTCTCTCTCTCTAAAATAATTAAATTCCTTAAAAGATTATAAAAAACAAAAACAAATAAGCTATAAAATTTTGGGGGGACAACTAGGACATCTGAAAAATGCAGATGTATAATCCCTAAACCAGACATTTCAGATCAGTCTCTGGGGTGTGGCTTCCTGACACCTGTATCTTTGGAAAGCTTGCCAGGTGATTCTGGCCTCTGAACCAGCATTTGGGAATCATTGTGCTAGAACATTCCCTTCTCCCTTGGTTTTGTCTTACTTTTCTGCCCTTATATTTCTTCACTTACGTTTGATTTTTAAGATTTATTTATTTATTTGCCAGAGAGGGAGAGCAAGTGCATGCAGAAGCAGACAGAGCGGCGTACAGGCAAAGGGAGAAGCAGGCTCCCCGCTGAGCAGAGAGCCTGGGATCATGACCCCAGCAAAAGGCAGACGCTTAACTGAGTGAGCCACCCAGGCGCCCCATGTTTTTGTTTTTGTTTAAGATTTTATTTATTTAGACGGGGCTCCGTAGCTCAGGGGTTAGAGCACTGGTCTCGTAAGATTTTATTTATTTGCCAGAAAGAAAGAGCACAAGCAGGGGGAGAAGCAGGCAGAGGGAGAAGCAGGCTTCCCGCCGAGCAGGGAGCCCGATGTGGGACTCGATCCCAGGACCCTGGGACCATGACCTGAGCTGAAGGCAGCTGCTTAACCGACTGAGACCCCCAGGCACCCCTCACTTATGTCTTTTGAAACCAAAGTGTCGATATTAATTTATGAACAGTAACGGTGACAAAGACCAGGACACTTGGGTCATGTAATCTGCACGTTCTCTACCTGTGGCCAAACTTTGGTAGAAGCTGAATCCTAATCAGAATGATATTTAGGATTAGGATACTTAATTTAACTGCCACCAGAGATTACTTGCAGAGTTCAGAAACCCTTGAAATTGGTTTTCTGACTGATTTTTAAAAATCTTATTCTAGGGGCGCCTGGGTGGCTCAGTCGTTAAGCGTCTGCCTTCGGCTCAGGTCATGATCCCGGGGTCCTGGGATCGAGCCCCGCATCGGGCTCCCTGCTCCGTGGGGAGCCTGCTTCTCCCTCTCCCACTCCCCCTGCTTGTGTTCCCTCTCTCGCTGTGTCTCTCTCTGTCAAATAAATAAATAAAATCTTAAAAAAAATAAAAATCTTATTCTATTCCAATAGGTAGACTCAAATCTCTTTCTGGAACAAGGGGAGTAAAATTATTACAAAAGTAGTAAAACAATAATAATAATAACAACAGCAGCAGCAGCAGCTTCCACGGACTCTTACTGTATTTCCAGGCATTATATGTGATGCCATCGTCAAACACCCGACAACCTTATTAGGTAGTAACAATAGCTAAAACCTGCAGCATTGACTATGTTCGGGCATTGTTCTGAAGGGCTTTACTTATGTCAACTCACTTAATTATCACAACCTTATGAGGCAGGGACTATCTGCAGTCCTGCTTTACAGATGAGAAAACTGAGTGCCCCAGGGGTCAGGAAATTGTCCAAAGCCACACAGCTCATAGTTACTGAGCAGGAATTTGAACCCAGGGAGGTTTTGCTTTTAACACTTTGCTATATGACTCTCCAGAAATATGATCCACATGTATATTTTTGTTGTTGTTAGTGTTACAATTTTTTTTAATTCCCGTGTAGTTAACATACAGTGTTATATCAGTTTCAGGTATACGATACAGCAATATAGCGATTCAACACTTCCATGTATCACCCCGTGCTCATCACAAGTGCCTTCCTGAATCCCCATCACCTGTTTCACCCATCCACCACCCGCCTCCCCTCTGTAACTATCAGTTTGTTCTCTATAGTTAAGAGTCTGGTTTGGGGTTTGTCTTTTTTTTTCCCTTTGTTCGTTTTTGTTTCGTTTCTTAAATTCCACATGTGATGAAATCATATGGTATTTGTCTTTCTCTTACAGGCTTATTTCACTTAGCATTATACTCTCCAGCTCCATCCACATTGTTGGAAATGGCAAGATTTCATTTTTATGGCCGAATAATATTCCACTGTATATACCACATTTTCTTTATCTATTCATCTATCGATGGACACTTAGGCTATTTCCATAATTTGGCCATTGTAAATAATGCTGCAATAAACATAGGGTGCATGTATCCCTTCAAATTAGTGTTTTTGTATTCTTTGGGTAAATACCCAGTAGTGCAATGACTGGATCGTACGGATGATCCACACACATTAACTCATTTTCATGCTTCCAAAGCCTGTGAGAAAGATGGTAATGGCATCTCCATTTTACAGATGAAGAAATGGAGGCTCAAGGTTAGAAGTGGCTCTACTGAGTCACTGTGGCAGGACCAGAACTTGAACCAGTTCTGTCTGACTGCAGTGCCCTGTGTTTCATTAGAGGGCCGCCTGGAAGAGGGGGCGCCACCTCACCTGCTTGTAGATGAGCTCAAAGGCTCCTGTGTCACAGCTGCGGTCTAGCCGCCGGTCGATGACCACACGCAGGGTGTCGGCTTGCACGCCTGCACAGAGCCGGGCAGTGACAGCAGTGGAGGGGGCCATGGTGGGGCTGGCATTGATCTCGATCAGCCAGGGCTGGAAGTCCTCCCCAAACACGAAGTCAGCACCGTAGAGCTCGAAGCTGGCCTTCCGACACTGCACGGTGTCCTGGGAGGTCTGCAGGGCATGGATCACTGCAGCCTTCATGCCAGGCACGATGACAGTGGCCCAGGCGTCTGGGGCCCCCATCTCCTGCAGGTGCGCCTGGAACTTCTGGCTCGACCACATGTTGTCTGAGGGCAGCAGCGGGTGCCGATGGCATGAATTCTCCAGGTGCTTCTGAATGGAGTTGTTGCACAAGTGCACTGAGCTGGGGCAGAGAGCAGAAAGCTGGGGTCTGGCTCCCTGTGCCACTCCCACCCAAACGTGGGGAGGGCAGGCAGAACCTGGAACCAGCCCTGGGCCATCCCAGACCATTCACCTTGAGATGGGGCTCTGCGGGGAAGCACAAGAAGGACAAAGGTCTGGGCCCCGCTACATCCCTCTGAGGGCACCCCCTATAGGGCCACAGTATTACGTGCTTTAGTCTCAGTTAGCCCTCCCACTGCCTGGAAGATACGAAGGTGGGTAGGAGTGTGGGCCCTGTAGTCAACAAGGCCCTGCTCAAAACAAAATCGAAAACAGACAAAAAACAAGACTGCTCAAGGCCTACCTTCACCACCGATTAGTTGTGAGATCTTTTCACCCAAATGCTCCTTCACATCTGTAAAATGGGGGTGGTACTAGGACCCATTTCACTGGGTTTTCATGAATGAGTGAGACAATATGCATGAAGTGCTTAGCAACTGTCACATATGAAGCATTCGGTAACCGATAGCTATGAGTTTCATAATACTGCCTCCATTCTTCAGATGTGAAAAATGAAGCTTCAATAGGTTTCATGTGACCAAAGTCACACAGCTTAGCAGCTGCAGAGATGGAATTTGAACCCAGGGCTCAACAAGGCTTTTCTCTCACCAACGCCCCGCCGAGTTAACGCTGCAACTTGCCTTTCTCCTTTTGCATTTCTCCTGAACCGTCTGACCCTGCTCTATGTTCTTTTTTTATATAACATATACCATCTTTCAACCTATTAGATAATTTTACTTATTACGTTCATTGCTTATCTATGAGTAACAGCATTAAAATGATGCCTTATGAGCATAACATACTTAACATCACTCATTATAAAAGAGATAAAATTAAGATAACCATTTTCTACTTAGAATGGCAAAGATAATCAACATTGTTGGGTAGGATGTAGGCAGACACATTTCATACTTGCCCAGCTTATGTGCGGGAATGTGAACTCTTGAGAACTGGGCTCTTATTTTGGTCACTGCTGTATCCCAGGTGCTTAGAACACCCTTGGATGGATGGAGGACCTGACTGCCTGCAGAGTCTGTGTTTGGAGCCCAACATGGCACTGGGGAACCACCTGTTCCTTGTCAGCTCCCAAGCTAGACAGGGGAGCTCAGAGGCGATAAGGGATATGGCTCACTTGTCAAGGTTCTTCAAAGAAAAGGGCTGTGTGGAGAAGCGGATGTAGCTGTCACGGTAGAACCACACGGTAAGTGGGTTCCAGTCGGTCACCAGGAACCACTGTCTCAGGTCAAATTTGGTGCCAAAGATGAGCAGAGGCCGTTCAATATACTTCTGTACCACCCACTTGCCGTCCTTCATCATCATGGGGTTGCCATCAACCAGCTTCAGCATCTCCTCCAGGTGGTCCATACACATGATGCCTAAGGGGGAAACAGGGTGGTCAGGGATCAGGTCAGGCTTGGGCTAGGAGAAGGGCCAAGGGACCACGGACAGCTCATCTTAAGCCCTCATCCCTACAGAACCGATAGGGCCAAGTAGGTAAGGCTGCTTCCCTCAGAACCCTGTTCCCTTTGGGAAAGCTGAGGATCTGCTGAAGATTAAAACTTTTTTTTTTAATTAACCACTTCTGTTTGATTGAAAAATAATATATGCACAGATAAAAATTCAAACCATATTGGGCTTTTTAAAAAACCATGTGCATATATGACTTTGATTAGTTTTTCCCAATAATTAACAGAATATAACAAAAACAAAAAGCAGGCAGTACAAAAGGATATACAATAAAAAATACTTCTTTCCCAGAGGCAGCCAACCGCTGCTTCCAGGTCTGACGTATATTCTTCCAAGCTATGGGAGAGTCTACATGCCTTGCTTTGATAGGATTCTATACATCTGAACATGTTAAAGATTTAGAATAGTTCTTGACGCACGGTGAGCATTCAGCAAATGTTAATTCCTACCATTATTATTAGTTATCTGTAGAACGAATTTCTAGCTGTAGATTTGCTGGCTCCAGGGATATGTACATGTTTTCATTTTATATTACCCAAGATGTTCTACCAATTTGCACTTCCAGCAAAAGTGTATGAGATTATGTATCTGCCCACATCCTACCCAACACTACTGATTATTTTGGCTATTCTTCTAGGTAGAAAATGGTTATCTTATTTTAATTTTATCTCTTTTATAACAAGTGACATTAAGTATCTTATATTTATAAAGCATCATTTTAATGCTGATAATGATCAGAGTCATGTGGCAAACATACATATTCACAAATCAATCTCACTCCTTCATTCTTTGGTCCCCAAAGCAGCCCGATCACCTGCTAATGACACAGAGTAGCCTATGCCTGGTTCCCAGGCCAGAGCCTTTCTCAAATGGCCAGAATGATCACCAAGATTCCCAAGAACATGATGCTTGTGACCTTTTTTTTCCCTTTAAGATTTTTTTTATTGGGGCGCCTGGGTGGCTCAGTTGTCTGCCTTCGGCTCAGGTCATGATCCCAGGGTCCCACGTTGGGCTCTGCACTCAACAGAGAGTCTGCCTGAAGATCCTCTCCCTCTGCCCCTCCCCCCACTCGCGCTTGCATGTGCGCGCACACTCTCTCTCTCTCAAATAATCTTAAAAAAAAAAAACAGGAAGACTGTCCATAACAATAAGCTAAAAACAGGGGAAAAAAGGCAGATCTAGATATACTGAAATGAAGTGATCTCTAAGATTTATTGTTAAGAAAAAGAAAAATGCAAAAAAGAAATGAGTAATACTCATATGAGTAATACTCATTGAAATGAGTAATACTCAACTGATATGGAAAGATATAATAAATGCGATAGGATATAGAATAATATGTTGTTTAAAATAAAACACACATGCGCACACACACCCTCCCTTTCCCTCTCTCTCCTCAAATGCATAGAAGAAAGCCTAGAAAGAAACACACCAAACGGTTAATAGTAGCTATCTCAGTAAAACCAAGAGTAGCTTTTGTTTTCTTCTTTCTATGTGTCTGTAGTGCCTGGTCTTTTTTTTTTTTTTTTTTTTGAGAGAGAGAGAGAGAGAGGGTGCACATGCACGCCAGAGCGGGATGGGGAGGTAGAGGTGGGGGAGAGGGAGAAAGAGAATCCCAAGCAGGCTCTGCGTTCAGCACAGAGCCCAATGTGGGGCTTGATCTCACGACTCTGAGATCATGACCTGAGCCAAAACCAAGAGTCAGATGCTTAACTGACTGAGCCACCCAGGCACCCCTGGTCTTTCTTCTTTTTTTTTAATAATACATATTTTCATAATTGGAAGAAAACCACACAAGTATTTTCAAGGTAGGAAAAGAAAAGACCAACATGCTGGTTTCAAGTGACATCCTCGAGAGGAGTGTCCCACAGTGTCTGTACCTTTCACTTGGACATGAACAAACTCATCCAAGAACAGTATTTGGAAGAATCTGGATGTCTGTTTTCCACATCTTACGAGTCCTTAACCAGATTTTTTAGGCTGGGCTAATGCAGCTCCCCAACTTGCTGGCTCTCCTGTTATAATTCCACTCACTGGGCTGAGCAGCCAGAAGAACAGCTAAAAATTATAGCACTTACACAGCAGTTACTACATAAAAGCACATATTATACTTACTTAATCCTCTCTAGTAGGTAATATTGGTTCCATTTACCAAATGATGAAATGAGGTAGAGAAGAGGTTAACTATCCTGCCCCAAATCTTACAGATAGAAGGAGGCAAAGTTTGGGCTTGACCTGATGTAGTCTGGCTCTCAGCATCCATACCCTTAACACCCTGCTATTTCACAAGGATGCACTGGTCAAATCAGAGAGCCCTTAGATGACAGGCTACTGCACACGAGTATCACCAGACACACCTAACGCATTAACCCAACTCTGAAAGCAGGAGAGGAGATGACACTCGTCACAGCAGCCAACGTTTATGGGGTGATTACTCTGTGTCAGGCACCACGGTGAGCTTTAGACACACAACCTCATTTAATCCGCACCTCACAGGATGAGGGAACTGAGATTCAGAGAGGTGATGTAACTTGCTCAAGGTCACACAGCATGTTATAGTAGCAAAGCTGGGATTCAAACCCAGGCAGTTTGGCCCCAGTACAGCCTGCACTGTTAAGCTCCCTGGCCTCTAGTTGGAGAGGCAGGCTGTAGGGTGCTGGTGTAGGAAGCAGGGGCTGACTCCCACCTCGTCCTCGGGACTTGGCTCCCGGCTTCACGATCCAGATGTTGCGATCTCCTTCCATGTCCATCTGGGGCACCACAGCCCGCAGCTGCTGCAAGATGTCTTCACAGCGCTGGACCTGAGCGTCGAGGTGCCTGAGTTCTACCCCCTCGCTGTGGGGAGATGATGGGACATGGGCAGGGCTGGGCCTGGCGGCAGCCTGGTACACAAGACAAGAGGAGACACGAGACCACCCCCCCAGGCCATGGTCCAACCAGCCGGGCTCATGCTTTTCCCCAAGAAACGCAGATAGGTCTCCTCCAAACCTCCACCCCACCCTCAAGCTGCCCCCCAAATTGTAACCAGCCCAGGGCGCCGTCTGAGAGTGCTGGAATAGGAGAGAAGAGGGAAAATTCCACAGTTTACACACCGTCCCACTCTAATACTCCTTCTGCCACCTCCCTTCTATTACAATAAAACTGCCTTGGCAGAATTTAATCACACCAGCATCTGATGATGAGGCACCACTACACGCCGGGCACGGTGCCAGGGGCTTCACATATGTTATCATTAATCCTCTCTATGGCCCTGCCAAGGAGGTATTACTGGTCCCATTTTGGGACCATTCAGTGCCAACTGAATGGGATAGTTCAGGGACTCGCCTAAGGCCACATATTGAGTTCAGTGGCTGAGCCAGGATGCAAACTCTGTCCTGCCTGATCCCTCCACCCACAGGTGCTTTTGGGGGTTCATTCCCCTCCAAACCTGGACCTACAACTGGTTGACAGATGGGTCCCTTCCTGGTCTAATTCTTCCCAAGCACATCTGTATCACACAGCCCCCTGGCTTGTCTCTCATCCCAACCACCCCACACCTATGCTTATTTAGCTGTTGTCTGTTTCCCTTCACTGGAGTCTAAGCTCCGTAAGAGCAGGAACGTTGGTTAGCGTTTCCCCTCCCCCAGCAGTATACCTGGCACTTTTACATGCTCTCGACAAAGTCTGTTGACTGGATGAATGGTTGCCCGCCTCAGCACTGGGCTGTACAGATAAGGGTTCCTGGACAAAGAGGGACTCTGTTCCCTACAGGACACAAACGTCCTGACCTAAACCAAGTCACGGAATACCTCACACGGCAGCCTCCTCCACACCCTCCCATTCCTCTCCCTCTGACTGAACAGGCAGGAAGCTTCCCTTAGATGCTAATCCCGCGTTATATCTTAGCCTTACGAATGTTCCAGCCATGAAGAACTTCCAGTTCTCATCCTGAGGAGGCAGGAGCACCCAGTGAGCAGCACCAGGAGTAGAGAGAGCAGCCAGATGGAGGGGGCTCAGCAAGGCCTCTTAGGAACAGTCGCACCTGCTCCCTTTTCTGTGGGCCACGGCATGAGAATCTACTCAGTAAACCTGTGGTTTGGCCCAGGAAAGTGTCATATGAGGATGGCAGGGGCATGTGCAATTTGAAAAAGTCTATTAGATATGACAATGTGATTTTTGTATTTAACAAAAAAGAAAAAAGCGATCAGTGTTTTTGCAGGAAGTCAATCTTGATAAAAGCCTGGCTGGTGAGTCATGGATTTGTTTCAAAAAGTTGAAAACACAGCAGTAAATACTGAATGAATTAACAAAAGTTAATGATCTATAACTTCTGTGAGTGAACCATTTAACGCTATATATGTCATATCATGTAAGTAAAAAAGATTTTTTTTAAAGATTTTATTTATTTGACAGAGAGAGAATAAGCAGGAGGAGAGGCAGAGGCAGAGGGAGAAGCAGACTCACAGCTGAGCAGGGAGCCCGCTGTGGAAATCGATCCCAGGACCCTAGAATCATGACCCGAGCTGAAGGCAGATGCTTAACTGAATGAGCCACGCAGGTGCCCCTAAAAAATATTTTTGACTGGGCGCCTGGGTGGCTCAGTTGGTTGAGCAACTGCCTTCGGCTCAGGTCATGATCCTGGAGTCCCTCTGATCCTCTTCCCTCTCGTGCTCTCTGTCTCTCATTCTCTCTCTCTCAAACAAATAAAATCTTTAAAAAAAAAATTTTTTTTTGACAAATGTCCCCAAGGCAAATATTTTTTAAGTAAGCTCCATGCCCATCGTGGGGCTTGAACTCACAACCCCAAGACCAAGAGTCACATGTTCTATCGACTGAGCCAGCCAGGCGTCCTTATATGATGTGATATTCTATGTAATCCCGACCTTTGAGGAGTGCCTATGGCCCTCTGGAACTTGCCCCAATCTAGGAATACAAAGGACTCATGTTCTTTACACTTAATGTTCTAACTCAGTCTTGATAATTCTTAGTTTAAGAAGGGTAGCTTTTTCTGGTACTTTTCTGGTAGTTAAGGGGAAAGTATAAGATCATCTAGTTTTTAATTTCTAACATTTAAAAAAATTACAAATGAATTATTTATCAAAGATGCAGGTTTGCTCAGTATGTCATTCATTCAAAGTTCACTTACTAGTTCTTTAGTCTCCCCTATAAAAATCATTAAGTCTGCCCATTCCTTTCTTTCTTTTTTTTTTAAAGATTTTATTTATTTATTTGACAGAGAGAGACACAGCGAGAGAGGGAACACAAGCAGGGGGTAGTGGGAGAGGGAGAAGCAGGCTTCCCACAGAGCAGGGAGCCCGATGCGGGGCTCGATCCCAGAACCCTGGGATCATGACCTGAGCCGAAGGCAGAAGCTTAATGACTGAGCCACCCAGGTGCCCCTGCCCATTCCTTTCTATTACCACGCGGGCTGAGGCCCTTAGCACTTCCACCTGGCTTGTGGCAAGCCTCCCCACTGAGCTGTGTGCCCCTTGAAGGCAGGGACTACACTTCATTTCTGGAGCCTGGCACCATGCTGGGCACATAGGAAGTGCTCAATAAATGCTGGGTGTTCTCCTGGCTTCAGAGTGCTTCTCCCTTTCTCTCTGCTGCACACCTCTGCTGAATCGAATCCCAGTCTCGACTCAACTCCCTTCCTCTGATCAAGAACATTTTCCCAAAGTGTGTTCTGAAAATACAGCCCCCCAGGATGCCTGTGGTGGGGCGGGCGCTGGGGTAGGGGTCACGCTAACTACAGGATAAACTGCGCACGGTATCTCTCTTGGAGGTTAACGCCACCCACAGGTTCTGAAAAGTCCGGCGTCAAGGAATTAATTAACTTTGCTTAACCTAATGTTTTCCAAATGCAATTGACCACAAAAGCCTTTCTTTCATAAAATCGATTTCTGCCCTGCAGAACTAAGCATCCTCTGTAACACACTTTGGGAAACACTGGCCTCCAGGATAAAACCTAAACAACTTAACAGATTCTCACTTTGTGAGTGAATACTATGAGTCTGTGCTGCGCACATAACACAAATTATCCTGTCTAATCCTACCTCTGAGGCAGACATTATTTTAAAATCTATTTTGCATGTGAAAAGTAAAGCTCAGAAAGATTAGTGACGTTGCCAAGGTCAAAGAGCCTGGAAGCTGCAAAGTCAGGACTCTCTGACGGCGCAGGCCATGATCTTAGTCATTATGCTAAGCCCAGATTCCGGAAGAATGGTTTGGAACCTATCATGAAGGCAGTGGGAGTCCCTGAGAGTTCTTGAGCAGGAGCAGCAAGGCAAACAAAAGGGGGAGGCCTGGGGAGGAGAGTGGGGCTGCATTACATATGCATCAGCTCAGAACACAGAAGCCCCCTGAGAGCAAGGGGAACCTGTCCACACCCCACAGTCCTAGCGGCAGAGGTACTCACTGGACCACTTGGTAGTAGCGCTGGAGGAAGACGGACCAGCCCTCAGGGCTGAGGTACAGCGGCGCCTCCAGGTCCTTGTCGATGTCCATGTGAGCCAGGTTGCTAAGGTGCTCCTCACAGGCGCACAGAGCCTCATCCACAAACTCTGGGGACACCATCACTGGCTTTTTCTCCTGTTTCTTGGGCTGTTTGTCTCCTGAAGATAGGAAGGGACCTGTCACTAAGCGACATGCAAGGCATATAACATGATACAGGCCACAGCCCCCACTGCTCCAAGGCCTGTCATTTACCCGAGGCCTTACCTTGAATACACCTGGGGCTCAGCACACACCTGTATCCCCTACTGTCCTGGGACCTGTCACTTACCTGAGGGTTTGTTCTAAATTCCCCTGTGACCCTAGTACTCACCCTTGGCCCCCACTGTCCCAGGGCCTGTCATTCACTTGAGGTTCCACCCTAAATGCCCCAGAGCTTCTCAGCTCTTGTAGCTCCAGCACACACCTGCAGCCTCTCTGTTCCTGGGACCTCTGACACACCTAAGGCCCTTGTGTCCCTGATCCTGGCACACAACAGTCTTCTTTGCACCTGACACACTCAGGAGACAGCAATGGAGAGATCTCTCTCTGGAAGAGGCAGGGATTTTCCTCCATCCAGTAGAGCTGTCCCTTACTTCCCTGAATCCATGGCTGATAGGCCCTTGGATTATAGGATGGGCACTTTGAGGTAGGAACTAAGTGCAGAGACAGAAAGGAAGAGCAAACAATAGGTTGGGCCAACATGCAGTAGGGGATTCTCTGTGTCTCCCTCCACAAAGCACAAGGGGTCCTCAGACAACATGGAACTACATGGTTTCACTGCTTCCTCCTCGTCAGAGATGTGAGCTCCCCACAGGCAGGGATGGACCATGTCTTCTTAATCTGTCCTCTCTATAGTGCTTGGCCACATGCCAGGCCCATGGAGGGCTGAATGATGCAGTGGATGATTAACAAATGGGTCAGAAAACAGGTGGGTGGGTGGTTGGGACAGAAGAACAGATGAGTGGGTGGGGTGGAGGATACATGGTGGTGGACAGGAGAACTCCTAAAAGCAGGGGGATAAATGGGTAGGTGGGTTTGTGGGAGAGTAGGTAGGAAGGTGGGGGCATGGACAGATGGATAAGGAGTGTGGAATGTGGAGCTGAGAGAAGGTAGGTGAATGAGTAGATCAATAGTGGGGGAATAGGTGGGGTGATGGGTGAATGAATGGATGGATGGATGGGCAGGTGAATGTGAGCTCAGTGGGGTAGGAGTAGGTCAGTAGGAAGGTAGATGGATGAGTAGATGTATGGTTGGACAAGTGGGTGGGTAGATGTGGGGATGGGTGGGTGGGAAGGGGTGATGAAGGAGATGGATGTGGCTAATACATAGATAGCTGTATAAATAAACAGATGGGTGGGTGAGAAGATAAATAGGTGGGGAGTGGAGGTAACCAAAGTACTTACCTGGGGACTCTTCCTCTTCTGCCTGGATAGAGTATGACTTCCATTCGGACTTTACCACCAGCTTGAGAACGTTGCGGGCAGCTGTCAGCCAGAAGTCCTCTGCTCCCGGGGCAGGAGATACCCTGCTCAGCCCCTAGGCTTGAAGCCTGTTCTGGTTCCGGAACCTGATCATAACCTGCCCCATTTTGGATCCGGAACCTAACTACCTTCCGACTCTACACTCTGGGGTTAGAACCTGGCTCCTGTTCAGTTGTAGAACCAGGCCTAGAATCTGACATGGCTCATATTCTGCCTTCAGAATCTTGCCTAGAACTGTCGTCCCCTTCTGTTCCATATCCACTTTTGATACTTACTCTAGCCTGAGAACCAGATCTGAGCACAAAACCAATGTCAGGTTTGGAGATGAATTTAAACTTAACATCTAATCTGAACACAAATTCTGACCTGAATTTAGAACATGTTCTGAAGTTGGAAACTATTCCACCTTAGGAGCCCAAAGTCTAGAGCCTTTTCTAGATTTGGAACCCAATCTAGCCAATGGAATTTGACATAGGCCTGGAACACACTGTGGACTCCAAACTCAACCCATTGACCAACTTTTAGAACCTGCTTTAGAATGCAATCTGAGCTATCTAAGCTCTTCTGAAGGTCCGGGCTGACCAAGCTAGGAAGTTCATTAAGGGAGGCACATTAGGGAAAGGTAGGATAGAGGATGGAAGAGGAAATCTGCTGGAGTGGATGAGGGCATAAAGAGAGGCTTTTGCTCTCTAACATGAACCAGGGTTTTAGCCCTCATGCTTCGGCCTGGGGCATGGGGCTGGCATCTCCTTACCTATGAAGGCCTTTTTGTCATCCTCAGCCCCCAGGCGGTAGCAGCGCGGAAAGAAGGAGTCAGCATCAGCCTCATCAAACCATGGCAAATTCCGGAGATTGAGACATAGACCCACCTATGGAGTTAGCTGCTGAGGGGGCACAGTGGGACTTGCCCAGACACCTCTAAGGGACTCCCCACATTTGGCACACACCCAGACAGCTCAGGGAGATCCTGCTTGAGTGTTCTCAGAGCCTCTGCCGTACTTGCTAGGCCTGACTCACTCATATCCATCCCCATGTGTATGCCCACACAGTTTGCTCTGCCAAGAATGCCCCCCATCCCTTCTATCCACCCTCTCACATTCTTAAAGACCTGCCTCCTCTGGGAAGCCTTCCCAGCCTACACCAATAACATAATAGCATGTTCCAATAATAAAGCCCTTCATTCTTATCACAACCCTACAAGATAGGTCCTCCTGGTGTTCTCATTTAAAGACAAGGAAACTGAGGCTCAGAGAGGTGAAGTCACTTGTTAATAAACCCAGGTGAGACAGAATGGATCCAGCAGCCGGATATCCCTTGCTTAGTTGGTAAGGGCTCTCTTGTTTACAGTCATTGGATGTGGTGTTTTTCTGGCTCCAGATCCTGTTTGGATTCTGGAGTCTATTTTAGTCATTATGTCTACATGTGCCAGACATGCTGCAGGGGTTGGATTCGAACCCAGGCCTGCCTGACTCCAAATCCCACTGAATCATACACCTCTCTGCCTCCTGAGAACTCTCTCTTCCTGACAAGGAAAGCAAGGAGTGGAGTTGCCGGCCCAAGAGCTAGCGGGTTAGAAGCTACCCTGCCCGCTCCCGTGGGGAACCCACCTTTGTGGTAAAGGAGCCAGCCCGGGCATAGTGGTTTATCATTTGATCCTTGGAGAGGAAGCGACAGTCCAGCACATCCCGCCGAGTGGTCCAGATGAAATAGGGGACCTCGTTCCGAACCATGCGGGACTGGGGAGAGCCGAGGAGACAGGGGAGACTGGCATGGGCAGCACAAGGCCTGAGGAACCTTCTCCCCAGCCTGCTGAGCAGGGTGGGTGAATGGAAGGAGAAGATGCTTCCAAGGTGGCCTCTAGCCCACACCCCATCTTTGTGTATGGTAAGAAAAAAACATCTCTTCCTCCAGGGCACACACTTGTGAGCAGAGAATAGGCTGGCTTGCAGGACTCCTGTGGCCAGGTGCCCCTACTCAGTGACTAAGCCATACAACTGAATGCCACACTTTTGTTTCGGCCCATGGTTATCAGTGACTTGCTCAGTGGCAGAACCTGGACTCCAAGCTGATGGGCACAGAACATGTGATAAAGGTTCTCTCAGGGCTCTTCCTCCTCCATCCTTCCCACAGCTCTGGAGGGTAGGGTTACTAATAGACAATGACATCCACGTGCCAGGCCCTGTTCTAAGTGCTTTTCTTTCTTCCTTCCTTTTAAAGTGCTTTTCATATCAACTCACTTAATCCTCACCACAACACTATGAAGTAGGTGCTACTGTTATCCCCCTTTCACAGATAAGGGAACTGAGGCACAGGGAGGGCAAGTGACTTGTCCAAGAGCTCACATGGTTGAGCCATATGAAATTGCCAGTGTTCAACATTTCCTGACATACAAAAATGGCAATTTGGTACATTCAGCTTAGTAAATGGTGGTGCCAAGATCCAAAGCCAAGTATCCTCACTTCAATACAGAGGTGTCCTCACCTCTACATCATCATATCAGCCTCTTTCAGAGCTTTTTAAGCCCTTCCTTCCAGCCTTCACTTGCCAAGGGCTGTTATTTGGAAGGGGGAATTACAAGGGAATTACAAGGGGGAATTACAAGGGAATTACAAGGAGGTTATGCTGGCTTCTGGTATAACCTAGCAGGGTTCTGATCCCAGGCCAGCCTTGTCTGAGCCTCACTGTGTCCCTCACCACTCTGCTGGCCCATCCAGGCTTTATAGAAGCAATCAGTTTTTACTACGGATAGGGAAAATGAGGCCCAGAGAAGGAAAGGACTTCTCTGAGGTCACCCAGCTGGATTCTAGTGCTCTCCCTCTCAGCCCCTCCCTGCCAGCCCCCCGGGAGCCCTCACCATCAGAGCATGTGTCCCATCTAGGTCATCAAATTCCAGTAAATCATCAAAGTCAAACAGCTGCGGTGGCCGAAATGCCTCGTCCTCTTCTTCATCCTCTGTGGATGTAGAGCCCAGGCCTGGTGAGGCCCCTGTCCCTGCCCCATAGACCCATACCAAAGTCTCAACCCTGGGATAGCAGGAACCAAAGGAAAGGGACTCAGGAGGGGCAGCCTGTGGAAAGGGAGGGAACTGCTTACCATCCTCAGTGGTGTCACTATCACCCATTACTGAGCTATCCAGATCCTTCTGGGGTGGTGGCAGGGTGGTGCCCGAGTGATGGACCATCTTCTTTTCCACCCAGCCTCTCCGGCGCAAGAGGCACCGTATCACTGGGTAGCGGCCTTGGATCATAAAGATCTTTTTCTGCTGTAAGGTGAGAGGAGGATACTTGGTCAGTATCACCCAAGTGCCAGACATACGAGATATAGTGGTGAACCAGACAGTTCTGGTTTCTGCCTTCAGGAAATTTTTATGTTCCAGCAGGGGAAATAGATTATAACCAAGTAGAGAAATAAATATGTATAGTAATAATTATAATTGTAATAGCTAACAATTATTGAGTACCTACTATGTACTGCTTAGTTTATATATATTACTAGCAATATGTATTTTTTTAAATATTTATTTATTTATTTTAGAGAGAGAGACAGACAGAGCATGAGTGGGAGGGGTACAAGAAAAGGGAGAGAATCTCAAGCAGATTCTGCACTGAGTTCGAAGCCCAATGTGGGGCTCAATCTCAAGACTTTAGATCACGACCTGAGCTGAAACCAAGAGTCGGGTACCACCGAGGTGCCCCAATAATATGTATTTTTTAATAGATTTTATTTATTTATTTGACAGAGAGACACAGAGCGAGAGAGGGGACACAAGCAGGGAGAGTGGGAGAGGTAGAAGCAGGCTTCCCGCTGAGCAGGGAGCCCAATGTGGGGCTTGATCCCAGGACCCTGGGATCATTACTTGAGCCGAAGGCAGACACTTAACAACTGAGCCACCCAGGTGCCCCAATATGTATTTTTAATAGATGCTGTTATCCCCATTTAACTTGTTATGAAACAGAGGCATAGAGAGGTTGAATAGTTTGGCTACACAGTGATTAAGTGAAAGAGCAAGGATTTAAATCTAGGTTGGCTGCCTCCCAAAACTGGATACTTAATGGGGACTCAGACAGATTAAAAATACATGCACGGGAAGGATAAGAAGGAGCCATGAATGTACAGAGTTGGGCAAATGGCAGTTCAGGCAGAGAGAAACGCATGTGCAAAGGTCTTGAGGCTGGACAGAGGTCAGAAGAAACTGGAAGAAAGCCAGGGAGAATGGGGTGTGAAAATGAGGGGAGAGCTCCTGAGGAAGCTGGTAGCAGCTAGACTGTGGAAGGTCCTGCAGGCCTTGAACAGACTTGGATTTAATATTAAGAGTAGCATGAAGCAATAAAGGCAAAGTGAGCATGATATGATTGGAGGCTTTATAAGTTGGCTTGCTGCTATACAGAGAACAGATGACGGGGCTGGGGAGGGAAGCAGGGAGACCAGTTAGAAAGCTGTTATAGGGCGCCTGGGTGGCTCAGTTGGTTAAGCGACTGCCTTCGGCTCAGGTCATGATCCTGGAGTCTTGGGATCGAGTCCCGCATCGGGCTCCCTGCTCGGCAGGGAGTCTGCTTCTCCCTCTGACCCTCCTCCCTCTCATGTTCTCTGTCTCTCATTCTCTCTGTCTCAAATAAATAAATAAAATCTTAAAAAAAAAAAAAAAAGAAAAGAAAGAAAGCTGTTATAAAAAGAAAAGAAAACAAAAGAAAAAAGAAAAGAAAAGGCTGTTGTGGTTTGTGCAGGAGAAAAACCACAATAGCTAAAATGAGGGTGAAAATGTGGAGAATGTGACAGATTAGAGACCTGTTTTGGAAACAGAGGTGACTGGTTTTGCTGATGGGATTAGATGTGTAGTAGGTGAACAGGGTGCCTGGCTGGCTCAGTCAGTACAGTATGCGACTCTTGATCTTGGGATTGTGAGTTCAAGCCCCATGTTGGGCATAGAGCACCTGTCTAGATGTGTGGGTGAACGAACAGAAAGATCATATTTCTGGCTTGAGCAACTGGTTGATGAGGAAGACGGGATATTAGGGAGAATGACAGGTTTAGGCAGGAAAATCAAGAGTATGGTTTGGAGCATGGGTTTGAAATGCTTCTAAATTCTCTCTGGATGGAGATGTCAAGTAGGGGGCTGGATCTAAGGCGTGTGGAGTCAGAGGAGAGACTGGGCTGGAAAGGGCACTTAGAGGGCGCAGCACATTTACTGGACTCACAGTCAAGGAGATAGGTGTGGGGAGGGATCCAGGGAACCAGGAAAGCTCCGAGGAGCCTTCAAAGGCAACGGAAAAGCAGCAGCCAGGGAGGGAGAAAGGAAAACTTGGTGTTGTGTCCAGACAAGGGGGCAGGGTATGTGGGTCAGCAGTGTAGAATGACACGAGGTACCAGACCAAGATTAGGACAGAAAAGGGGCTGCTGGATTTGCCTCCTTGGAGGTCATGAGTGACCTTGATTAGAGTGGTTCCCGATGAGAATGGGGAAAGGCTAGGAACCAGAGTGGTAAGAGCTGAAGGGGTGAATGCCAGGTAAAGAAGTTAGACAATTCCGCCACGAACGGGTATTGAAAAATTGGGAATATTTTAGGAGGGGTGTGGGATCAAGGTTTTTGGTTTTGTTTGTCTGTTTTTTAAAGGATGTAAGAAGACAGTTCACGGAGGCAGGCTAAGCCACTCTGAGGGCCCTTTCAAGACACCCCCCCCCCCACCCCCCTCCGACCTTGACAGCTCTCTCCACGTGGATCCTGGCGTTTCTGAGCCGGCCCATGTGGTGAGATGGCTTGGAGAATCCTCGCCAGAGGACAAGGGAACCTGCAGAAAGATGCAGCGTAGGGATGGGGCAGGCTGAAGGCTCAGCCTAGCGTCTCTCCCGGCCTCCGATGCCCACACTCCTTTCTCCACCCTTCATCCGGATGCCCACACTCTCCCGACCCCTCATTCCCTCCACCCCAAGTCTTCTCGTCCTTGCAACCACCTCCGGCCACGATAGGCTCGCCGCAACGGGCCTCACCATCCGGCGACTGGGCATCATCCGGAGCCGGAGTGTGCGGGGACCCAAGGGGGCGGAGATCCGCTGCGTTCTGGGTGTGGGTGCCTTGGGCCAGCGACTCGAAGGCATGGCCTAGGCGGCTCAAAGAGGGACTGCCGGCCCGGCCTTTGCCGCCAGCGCAAAGCCCCTCGGGACAGGCGGAGCCGGGCCCCGGCCAAGGCAGTGTCTCGGGAGGCCGGAACTCTAAGTGGCACGCCCAGGGCCATGGGGCGGGAGAACTGGTGCGGCCGTCCTCTTGGCAGTACCAGGCGGTGGAGCCCTGGTGCGCGAACCCCAGCTCCCCCGCGCTCGGGAGCAGCGCCGCGCCGGGGCCCTGCATGCGCCCCTCGCGGCGCACGCCCTCCCAGCGCGCGAGAGCCCGCCTCCCCTCTGCGCACCGCCTCCTCTCAGGGGAGCAGGGCCCTCGGTTCCGAGGCCCCGCCCCCTGTTTGCTGTCGCCCTGGAAACCATTCCGCTGGCACAATCAAGCCTCTGGTAGGGGGTTCGAGTGCTCCCTCCTGCGGACTGAAATCCCGACCGCTAAGTGGGGTACCGAAGGTGGAAGCGCAGAGCACTGCGCTGCCAGTTAATTTCAGTGTCGTGGTTCCTGTGGCTTGAGTCATTCCACAGTATGGAGAGCAACCGTGCTAGGCAGTGGGCTAGGTGCTGGAGACTGGAAGAAGCTAGAGATGATCCCTGACCTCATGGATCTTACAGCCCAGTGGAGGGGAAACAAAAAAGCAAGCAACAAAGGAATAAAACAGCTGTAGGTATGGTAAGGGCAATGAACAAGCAGCAAACTGAAACCAGGAAGGGGACATACGTTAGACAAGAAAAAGGTATCCTTAAGAGGTGACATTCAAGCTGAAGCCTATGCAAAGGACGTCAGGAGTCGGCTAGGGAAGAGGGGTAGGAATAGCATCCCAGACAGGAAAGTCTCAGCAACACCCCTGACAGAGGTAAGAATCTTTCCCTGGAACTAAAAGGTAGCCAGTGCGGCTGTAGCCTGGTGAGGTTGGACCAGATGTACAGGGCGTGGCGGATGGGCCTAGGGTAAGGTCCTTGGGGACTGATCTGAAAACCAGGGCAGTATACGAAGAAAACAATGAGAAAGTAGAGTGCAGCACAATCCCCCCGCCCTCAATAACTTGGGAATAGAAAAACAGATAATCATTTTGAGTCAACTGCACAAAAAATATAATAGAACAGTTAGGCGCAGCCCTCAGGACTGTAAAAACTGTATGTAAGTAACCTTTTTGGAGGTTACTACTTTTTGGAGGTAGTGGCAAAGTATGATCCTCCGAAGTCATAAGTAATATAATCAAGGCTCCAAAATGTTACTTTGCCTAAAACCACACAGCAGAGCCAGCAGTGGAACGCAGGTCTAACCGCAAAATCCCACTCTTCAACATAAACATTATTTAACCTTAGTACACAGTTATCACTTAGATGGATTACCTATTAGTCATGGATGTACTGAAGGAGCAATTTGAGGTGCAAATTCCAGCAGTGATCATTCAAGCAGAGTGCAGGTAAGAGAGTACTCTGGTCCAAAGACCCAGCTTTGTTAGCAGGGTAGATCTGCCGGTACAGTGAAGGTGGGTCCTCAACCTCACCGTCCAGCCAATCTCTACCTGAGATCACTCTTCTCACCCGCCCTTGGTTGGAGCCTGGACTTCCCAAAAGGCATGCCCCCAGAAGAGGGCAGGCTGATTGGCAACCATCCAGTCTGTTCTTTCCCATCAGCCTGCAAATCTGGTTTTAGGGCCTCTGGATCCTGGGAGATGGATCTATGACAAACGGCTGGCTCACCTAGGCAATGCCGTCCTGTGAGTGTTGAGGGAGCAGCTGCCATACTCTCTTGAACCTCCAGCTTCACTGTGAGCACCTTTAACATTCACTGCAAAGCTAAAACATAGCTATGTGCCCCAGGGGGCACACCTAATTCTGTAAGACAGGAGGAGGAGGCCACAGAGATAATGTCATAAAGGGGATGATAGCTGTCCAAGTTGCCCCCACCCCCAACCCCTCCTCCCTTTAACATGACCTTGTCCTCCACCTCAAGAGACTTTTTGGTGACCTGGAAAGCTTTTGAAAGCTCAGCTCAAAGGCTGAAAATTTTCCTGACACCCACTTCCATAAATATACCCCGCCCACCCTGTAGACTACCACAGAATCAGTTTGTAAATATGAAACACTTCAGTTGCACCTTCAGTTCAACCTTCAACACTTCAGTTACACACCCAGCTTTCACTACCCACCAAGTCTCTCCAAGACAGGGATAAGTTCACTCCCCCACCCCCCAAGCCTAGCCCAATGAAAATTATCAGTTTGGATACTGGGCTGGTAGAAAGATCAGCTGTTGTTTATTCAGTACCTATACCAAGGTACTGTGTCGGCCTATTTACATTATCTCCACTTTATAGATTAAGAAACTGAAGCACAGAATATAAGGAACTCACGCAAATTCAGCCTCAAGAGTCAGGACTTGAGCACAAGTGTTTGTTCTTAAGGATTCAGCAAGGTCTAGTGCTGTCCAATAGAACTTTCTCCAATGATGGAAATGTTCTATGTATGTACTCTGACATGGTAGGAATTAGTCATTTGCAGTTATTGAGCACCTGAAATGTCTCTGGTGGGAATGAGGAAGTGAATTTTAAGCTTTATTTAACTTTAGTAATTTAAATAGCTTCACGTGGCTAGGGATGACAGAGGCAGAAGCCTTAGATTTGAAGTCTACCCTCTTGCTCACTAGCTGGGAGTTTTGGGGCAAGCTGCTACATCTCAAGGAACCGCAGTTTCTTTAGCCATATGGCATCATTATTTCTCTGAGGATACCTTTTAGCCCAAATGAGCTCATTATGTGAAAAGGACCAAAGCCTATAGGCACAGAGAGCAGTTTCAGAAATGAATGGTGCTTGGACGGTAATGGGGGTCTCTGGGTCGGGGCCCTTGGCACAGATAACATCAGAAACCAATCAGGAGACTACCTCTTATGGGGACCCCCAGGCCCAAGTACCAGCTACACGGTCTTGGGAAGAAAAAGCCCCACCGCCCCGCTCCTTTCATATACACAGTGCACAGACCTCATGCAGCCCCAAAGGGGCAAGAAGAGACTTTAATTAGGGGAGGAGGCGGGATCCACCAGAATAAGAAAAGGTACAGCGAGCGTGGGAGCAGAGGAGCCAGAGCAGGCGCAAGAGCCCCAGCTCAGGAAGCTCTGGAGGACTCACCCCTCCACCTCCAGCACAGGCACTGCACTGACAGACAAGGCAAAACAGCGGCCCCTCTCAGCTCGGAGGGCACAAAGTGGCCCCTGTGGCCAGAGGTGCCTGGCTTTCAGCGCCCAGCTCTGAGGCATGGCTGGTGGCCACCAGATCAGCCCTTGTCCCCACCCCAGCCAGCACTGGGTGGCTATCTTCACGCAGAGCTCAGGAAGCCAGCAGAGTCCCAACAACTTCTACTGGGCCTAAGGAGGCTCAGGAGTAAGAGGGCAAGGGAAAGGAAATGGAGTCTGAAACCTTCCTCCTTCCCTCCCTCTCTCCCCACCTGGGGCTTCTGGGGAGGGGGGGGAGGGAGGGGGGGAGACACACAATAGTCGCCTTCTGGCTCCAGGCCCGCCCAGACCCACAGCGACCAATATGGTACAATCACTGGGACCAGTCACAGCCACTGGAGGTGGAGGTTGTTTTGTTAAAAAAAAAAAAAAGACAAAAAGGTTACAGTCTCCTACAAGCACAGAATTTAAGTTTCAAGACGTTAAAAAAAATCTGTCCCAGCCCAGGGGACCGAACATCAGAAGCCAGCCTGACCAGGCACGTGTGGCCTTGGGGCAGGTCCACCGCTGCTTTGTTGCCCAGCTAGCAAGCATACCACCCACCTCCCGCATCGAATGCCCACCCCGACCCAGCACCCCCACCCTGCCGCCGCCGCCGCCGCTGTCGCCGCCGCCGCTCTGGGGAGTAACTCCAGGATGCCTTCGCAGAGACGCGGGGGAGTCTGAGGGGGAAGACCTTGAGATCCAGCCAGACGGTTTAAAACTGTCAAAAGAACCAAGAGGCGGTGAATGGTGATTATTACTGTATCCTGGCAGGCCTGCTCTGGGGAGGTAGGCTGATCTGAGAGCTGCCACTGTTCTCAGATTTCTGAGGGATAGGATGGGTCCCAGCACACCTTGTGGGCACCCTTTTTCTAATTCAGCCTGCGCTGAGCAGTGACCTTCAGGGCACCAGCCTTAAACCTAGCACTAGACAAGACAGAAAAATTAAGGGTGAAGTGGGCTTTTCCACAGCTCCCCTTAACCATGTCATGGAGGCTGCTACAAAGCTCTATCACAGTGCCTTGCTTGAACTGAGGTTGCCTTCTTTAGAGATGGGGGCTCACGAGCAAGGGCTTGGGGACTAGGGGGCCAAGAGCAGAAGGACCGAGGATCTGGTACTTTGTGTCAAGCTGTGGGTAGTTCTCCAACCGTAACAGGCCCTTGGAAATGTTTTCTGCCCTCAAGTATCCCCCATGGTGCCCAGAATAGCACCAGACAGTTTACAGATCAAAGATTGTGGACCAATGGCCCACAAACTGAACCCAACCTAATAATGAATGCTGGCTGGTCCACAAAGTATTTAAAAAAATACAAATTCACTGCCAACCTTGAAAATATAAGAGATGTCGCATACAAATCCAGATTTGGGGATTCTTTTGAAAAGCTGGAAGATGAAACTGTAACGGGCGGGAGCTCTGTGGTAGTGATCCTCTTCAGATGACGCATGTGCTTACCGGGTCCCCAATAGCCCACTTCACTCACATGCATACCTCCCTGAGCCCTGCATGCACCTGAGTATGTGACCCCTGCCAAATGCTATGGTACTATCTTGATCTTTGATCTGAAAACCAAGTTCTAAGTCCCAGTTCCTCCTCTTATTGGCTGAGGGCCCCTGAGTAGGTGACTTGACTTCCAGAGCCCAGTTCACTCACCCATAAAATAGGGATAACACATGACTCAAAGATTGTTTCAAGGATTAAATGAGATATATAAATGTGCTTAGCTGTGTAATTACAGAAATGCAGTTACCATCTGAAACTAAGACTGCACTATATGTTGGCTAATTGAATTTAAATTTTAAAAAAAGGAAAGAAATTCAGTAACCATAATTAAATGACTGGTGAATGAGCCAAATATTAAATCAGGACAAGAACTATTTTCCTTTGCAGTTGAATGTAGAGGCCTCCTAGTGCCCTGGCCGTAAAACTTTGGTGCTACAATACCTAGAAAGCTTACTATGTACCAGGTGATCTGCTCTGTATACATCTCCTCATTTAATACTCAACCATACTAAAAGATACTATTAATAGTCTCGTTTCACAGCTGAGGAAACTGAGGCTTCGAGAGATTCAGCAACATGCCCAAGTAGGCAGTGAAGCTGGACGCACGCACAGGTGGTATGACCCCATAGCCTGTGTGATTTGAACAAGCACGCTACCCTGCGTGCACAGTAAAGCTACTTTGTACACTGACTGCCCTCAGTATAATTAAAGCCCAGGAGAAGAAGGTGTAATTTCCATTTTTAGGAATCTGAGCTCCTTCTGGGCTGGATCTGTATGCACTGGTAGGAGTAAACACTAAATCTACTATCTAGGGATTATGGTTAACTCTAAGCAGAACATGTCAACAAACCAAAGATTGTTTGGAAGAAGAAAAAAAAAAGAAGGCATGTCCTGAATATCTAAATAAGAACAACTGTGTCATCAGCTCATCAGTGTAAACAATTCCTCCTCTTCAGAGGACTGCAGTTGGGAACACAAACAACCAAAGAGGGATCCGGAGGACTGAAGCCATGAAAGTAATGGAAAACACGTCGAAAATATCATGACTTTAAGCCTGAGAAATAGATGCTGAAAACATTCAAATCTGGGGCGCCTGGGTGGCTCAGTCGTTAAGCATCTGCCTTCGGCTCAGGTCATGATCCCAGGGTCCTGGGATCGAGTCCCACATCAGGCTCCCTGCTCAGCGGGAAGTCTGCTTCTCCCTCTCCCACTCCCCCTGCTTGTGTTCCTGCTCTCGCTCTCTCTCTGTCAAATAAATAAATAAAATCTTTAAAAAAAAAACCAAACAAACAAACATTCAAATCTGTTTGAAAAGTAGAATTACACTGATTAACTGTCCTATATTCTTGGAAAATTCCCATGTAGATTTAATTTGCCTCACCTGGGGTTTGAGCTAGATACAGGGAAGGACTGTGTACATTTTGAGATGTAGAAAGGAGCGTCTAAGTCCCCATGAGAGACTAAGGGAGGTGTCTTCGAGGCACTCAAATACAGAAAATGCCAGGTCCCAAAGATGACCCCCAGGTCTCCCAGCCCCAAGGCACCTGGCTGATGTGCCACCCACCAGAAGGTCCTATAGGCCTCAGCAAATATTCACACTGTTGGCACCACTTTACCACCAGATGCTAAGTTCTCAACCCACGACTCCTCCTACCTCTCTTCTAGAAGGACACCAAGAAGGCCCCCCACTTACATTCTTGAGGAACTCCTCGGCTACGATGCGCGCACGAGCGTTGACCGACAGCTTCATCTCACTGATCTCCTTGTCAATCTCCTCCATGAAGTGGATCACGAAGTCCACCAATTTGTGTTTGTACATCTGCTCTGTGTGGAAGTTGGTGATCAGAAAACTGATGTCATATCCCTGGGGAAGGAAGACAGTAGAGAGGAGAAAGAGAAGGAACAGGAGAGAATTAGCATCCCAGGGCACTTAGTTGGCCATGTCCTCTAGAGTCACTGAGCTACATGCTTCCTACTGGCCGTCTTCTCCCAAGTCTCAAGACCTTCAGGCAGCAGCCTGCCTGCTCTGCTAGGGTGTCTATGCTGGGTCCAAGTAACTAACCCAGGTGAGAATTTTGTGTCTGTCAGGCATCTCTGGAAAACTACCTGTGATAAAACAGTTGCATTCAGTCATGAGAGAGTGAAGAACTTGAAATCTTGTTACAGAAGAATCTAATGAAACAGGGAGAAGAGATGCTGTGGGAGAAGGATGGGATTGGGTTGTGTGTGGAAGAGTAATCATTTGTTCTGGGTGGCCCCAGAGGCCAGATCTAGGACCGGGAAGAATGATTTTAGCTCAGGATGAGGATGAGCTTGGCCAACACATCTGATGGTGCATGCTGCCCTGCATAGTAGTTGCTCAGTCACTGGGAATATTTTAAGTTGATCTGGAAGGGAGTCTTTGGAGAGGACTCAAGTACAAAGTCAGACAACAACTGAGCCAATGTCAACTGTGGCCTTGAGAGAATGATTTAGTTGGTGACAAAGCTTACAAAGGATTTCTGATTCATTGTTCCCTTTCTGCCGTTAGACTGTAGGCTCTGGGAAGATAAGCAACACATATTTTTTTCCTTTTCCCTGGTTGAGGCAGACCCAATTTTTCCTAATTCTGATACCCCTTATTCTCACTCCAGCTGAAATGAAGGCCAACTCTCAATTCAGGCAGTGGGTGTCCAACAGCTGGAGAAGCAGCAATCTGGTTCTACAAACAATCCCAAGCCAATGACAGTAGACTCGGTGGGAGAATCTTGGGTATTATGAACATGTGGATCACATGGTCTCACCTCCACTGGTTTCCTTCGAAGGATAAAAAAGTTCTCTGCTCGCATCATCATGAAGCGCATGAACTTGTGGCATAAAATCTTCTCGATCTCATCAGCCTAGTAAAAGATAAACAGGGCTCCCTAAATCTGACATTACAGGCCAACAGAAACCTGTAGCCTGGTCTTCTGACCTCAATTTCCCCCAGACTCGCTGCAGGTAGTGGGGTTTCACATGGGGAGCAATCACTGCATGAATCATGGGGCATATGATTGCCAACTGAATGTCTACTACATTAGAGCCTCTTCAACTCAACAGGGCATTATCACGATCTCATTTTTGCCCATTCCAGAGAGGTAATTCTGGCAAACCCAAGTCTTTTATCTGCTCCTTTGAGTCCGTACCTACATTCAAAGCTGCCTGTCCCTTTCCCATTTCACTAGTGCTGTGTTTCCCAAAGTCTATGATACGTACACCATCTGGAGTTATCAGAGAGAAACTTAGGTGGTCTCCGCTTTAACAACAATGACCATTAAATAATCCCCAAAGTTTTTCCCTGCTGAAAAATTATTTCTAGTGAAAGAATTTTGCAGCTAAGTGCTGGTATGTATGCCCTTAACACCTCCCAACACTTGTTAATCTCCCTTTTTAACAGAGCAGGGCCCAAGGATAGAGCTTTCTGTAGGAAACAGGGCCTAGTCTAAATAACAGTTTTGTTTTCTTTCACTGCAATTATTTTTTTAGAGTTCTCCCTATCTGACAAGTGATACTTTTTTCCACTATCGCATAAGGTTTCTTTTTCAAACAAATTTAAGTAAAAGAAAGTAAGTCAATTTAAGGAAATCCATTAAACAAATAACTGTCTGGGTGGTACACAAATAGGGCAAAAATTGTAAGAGTGGTGGGAATATCGGTGCGCCTGGGTGGCTCAGTCGTTAAGCGTCTGCCTTCGGCTCAGGTCATGATCCCAAGGTCCTGAGATCGAGCCCTGCATCGGGCTCCCTGCTCTGTGGGAGGCCTGCTTCTCCCTCTCCCACTCTCCCTGCTTATGTTCCCTCTCTCGCTGTGTCTCTGTCAAATAATAAATAAAATCTTTAAAAAAAAAATTAAAAAAGGGCGCCTGGGTGGCTCAGATGGTTAAGCGTCTGCCTTCGGCTCAGGTCATGATCTCAGGGTCCTGGGATCGAGTCCCGCATTGGGCTCCCTGCTCCTTGGGAGCCTGCTTCTCGCTCTGCCTCTCTCTCTCTCTCATGAATAAATAAATAAAATCTTTAAAAATAAAAAAAAAATAAAAAATAAAAAATAAAAAAAAAAGAGTGGTGGGAACATCAACATCACCTAAAGTAACATAAGAAATTACACTTTGTTTTTTACCCTAAATCTCTTTTTCAAAGTTTATGGTTATCAAATTGGTACTGGTACTATTTATTTTTCTGAACTGGACTTTTATCACTCATAAATGATTCTCTGACCTAACACCAAAATGGCCATGGCCTTGGCTGCTACTTTTCCCAACTTCTAATCTAGAGCAAGGGCTAGAAGATAGGGTTGCTATCTCTACTCTATTGACCTGCTGAATCTGGCAAATCATTCCCTGGGTACAGTCAAGGAAATAGAGCCTGGGTTTCCTCGCACCTTGAATCTGGCATGACGATCTTTCAGATGGGGATCCCTAGCCTCCTGAGGAGGCAGGGGCTCAGTGGTGAGCTCACCTGTTTCACAGCAATGCTGACCCGGACAGAGTTGATGGAACCCTCAATCAGAACCTTTTCCTTCTCATTCCTGCTGATCGTCACAGGTTGTAACAGGAGCTCTTTGCTACTCCTGAAAACACAATGTCAGAGAGGCCTCTGTACTATAGAAGAACAGAATGCTCAAGGAGACCCCACAGCAGGCCCAGGAATCTCTATCTGAGACCACAGAGTCCAAGGAATAGGAGACTCACAAGTAGGGGTGCTCCAAGATGGGGGCCAGCGAGTGTGTTCTCCAACAGAAGGAGCAAGGCTCTGGAGTCAGGGTGATAAGGTTTTGAAATCCAGTCTCCTCTGTTACTTTCCTTGGACAAGTTACCCTGTTGGGATCTCAATTTCCTCATCTGTAAAATGACTGATTCCTATTTCACTGGCAAGGATTGAGAGAGATCAAAAAGGGTCAATTGTCTAATAGAGTGCCTGGCACATGGTAGGAGCTTTACAAATGACAGCTCTTATTTTAAATAACTACAGGCAAACCCATATACCATGTAGGGAACGAGAAGAGAGAGGCTGCCTTAAGGATAAGGACAAGCTAAAATCAAACAGAGTTTAGCCTCCTTTAATTATCAATTCAGAATGATTCACTTATTCAGCATTAAGACCCCTCTCAGCTCAGCTCCTATTTTGATGCCTCTGAATCTCTAGGTATTTGTAATGGTAATTAAAATGCCCAGTGGAAATCGTGTATGTTAAGTAGAGTAACATGAAACATGCTAACATCTTGTCAGTATTTTAAAATTCAAATCATTCCAACATGGTGTGGTAACACTGTTTATCTCAGTTATACATGTCTCAGATTAAACTTTAAAGGAGAACAACATTAATTTAACAAAACATAAACTAGATAAGAGAAAATAACCCAAAATATGGAAAATTTGGAGTAAGGAATGAGAGAGTCCAGGTTGGCAGGGGGGAAAAACATTCTTTGATCTTTAAATTACAAGAGGATGGAGATGGCATCTAACAAAATTCTCCACTCTCCTTAAACTGGGTTCAATAATGACACAGGAGATACTTAACAAACAGCCCCACTCTGAGAAGTCACACTTTGTGTCAAGCAATCTTGGCTCCAGAGGAGCTTCTCCCCTGTGTTTTGTCCTGCCAACCCACTGACCCTATTTTCTGAACTGCAAATTGGGAACCATTGCTCATCGGGCAACAAGACAAAATATATGAACTATAGTTGTCTTGACAACTCCAGGATGGAAATTCGTGGCAGCCTCCAGACAACTGCCATCTCTGGGGCTGAACCCATCATCCCCACCCTGACCTTTCTCTTCCCTACCTGACTTCTACTTCCGGCTTGTTGTGTCGTTCCACAACCTGGGAGGAGAAATTCTCCAGGCAGAGGGCAGCCTGCAGTGTGGCCCGCACGGCACTCAGGTAGGGGCGGAGAGTGGCAGTCTGTAGGAAAAAAAACCCAAGGGAGAGTCAGGATCTGTCTTAGCAAACCCACTGGCCCCCTACTCCAGCTACATGGGAGCCAGGCAGTACTGAGAGTACCTGGCTCAGATACCACAGTGAACAAAACAGACTAGGCCTCCAAGGTGCCTTTCATTCTAAGTCTAGAACAGTGTTTCTCAACAGGGGACCATTTTTCTTGCCAGGGGACATTCTGCAATGTAGGGACATTTTTGACAGGACGTGGGGTGGGGTGGGAGTGCTATTGGCATCAAGTAGAGGCCCGGCATACTGTTAAACATCCTAAAATGCACAAAAAAGAATTATTCGGGGTGTCTGGGTGGCTCAGTCAGTTAAGCGTCTGACTCTTGATTTTGGATTGGGTCGTGATCTCAGAGTTGTGGGATCTAGCCCCGAATCGGGCTGCATGCTCAGCGCGGAGTCTGCCTGATTCTCTCCCTGTTCCTCTGCCCCTTCCCCCTTCCTCTGCCCCTCTCCCTATTTGCACGTGCTCTCTCTCTCTGTAAAATAAATCCAAAAAAAAAAAAGACGAAAAGAATTATTCAACCCCAAATAGTGCTGAGGTTGAAAAATTCTGGTCTAAAGGCATACAGATGACAATGACTGTTCTCAAATCTGTCTTTTGAGCCAAGAATGGATAAGTCTACTGTGTGTTAGGTACTGATCTAAATGCTAAGATTTTTTTTTTTTTTTAAGATTTTATTTATTTATTTGACAGAGAGATAGAGAGCACAAGTAGGCAGAGAGGCAGGCAGAGGGAGAGGGAGAAGAAGGCTCTCCGCTGAGCAAGGAGCCCGATGCGGGGCTTGATCCCAGGACTCTGGGATCATGACCTGAGCTGAAGGCAGCCCTTTAACTGAATGAGCCACCCAGGCGCCCCTAAATGCTAAGATTTTAAAGACCATCTCCACCTTTAAACAGCTCAACTAGGTAGAAAAGACAAAAAATAACTATGACATAAAGGAGAATGAAATGGAACAGAATTTGATTTATAAATTGTATTTCCAGAAGAGACTGGTTTGGACATAAAAATGAAGATAGGATTAGGAAGATTTTATAACAAAAAGTAAACTAAGGACATTCCCAGTAGAGGGATCAGCTTCTACCTACACTGGTGTATCTTCAGTTCCTTGTATTAACTAAGTTCTTTCTCACCTCAGGGCTTTACACATGCTGATCCATCTATCTACAGGGTTTTCTTCCCTCTCTTGACCCAAGTCATCCCTCAGACCTTGGCTTATTCAGGGAAGGCCCCTTCCTTCCTCAGGCCATTCTTGACTTCCCCCTTCATAGCATTTATTATAATTTACATGACACATCCTTCATATTTCTTTAGTAAAGTGATTTCTTCTTCACTAGATTGTAAGCTTTGTGGTCAATAGACCATGTCTCTTTATTCAAATCTACATACCCTGCACCTAGCTCAATACCTAACATATGCAATGTCTTACTCCTTTTCTATAAAATATTATGTAGAATACCACAAGCAAGGTTAGAACAACACAAAAAAGACATTAAGAATTCCGTAAGTAGTGATGAGTAAAGTGTTGCTGTATACAGAAAGCACTTTAGATTCAGTAGATGAGGCTGCAATGGTGGCCTAAAGATTCATGGGTAATCTCAAATGCCAAGCTGTTCATTTTAGCTTTTCTTTTAAGGCAGTAAGGAACTGTTGGGACTTTCTGAGGAGGAAGTTATATGACTTCACCAGTTGCAAGGTGGCTCTATAGAGAATGGACTGGAGGGAAGTGAGACAAAAGGCAGAGAGGGTTATTCAAGGAACGCTGATGAGAGCCTGAGGCAGTGGAAAGGACAAGCAGAGGGTATCACAAGAGTTGGACTGTCATAAGATGTAGAGAATAATGGAATCAAAAAACACCTCCCAACAAACTGTGGTTCACCCATACGATGAAATACTATTCAGGAATAAAAAGGAATAACTAGTGATACATGCAGCATGGATGAATCTCAAATGCATTATGGTTAAGAAGCCACACTGGGACAACTGGCTGGTTCAGTCTGAAGAGCCTGTGACCCTTGATCTCAGGGTCGTGGGTTTGAGCCCCATGATGGGTGTAGAAAATACAAAAATAAATAAATAAACTTAATTTTTTTTAAAGCCACATCAAAAGGCCTACATCCTGAAAAATTCCATTTATATGACAATATCAAAAAGGCAAAACTATAGGAGAAAAAAAATCAGTGGTTGCCTGGAATGGGGAGAAGACAGGACTGGCAACAGAGGGACTTGAGGGAACTTTTTGAGGAAACATTGTTACCTTGGTTGTAGTAGTGGTTACATTATTGTGTTTGTCAAAATCCACAGATGACAAACTTAAAAAAAGGGTGATTTTTAGATGACAAGCCCCATGACACCTGCCCTTTCACAGATAAAATGCATTCTCATGTAATACCTCAATAAAGTTGACTTTTAAAAAATCCAAGTGGGATAGCCTCAATTAGAAAAATAGAAAATCCAGGCTTCTAGCAGAGGTACGAAGACACAAAGCCAGGATAAGCAACATAAAAAGAAAAGCAAGTTTAGGAGAGAAAATGATGTTTGATCTGAAGGCCTAATCTGAAGGTGTCTTCAAGATATCCAGGCAAACCTTAAAAGAGAACTAGGAAGACAGATTCAAGAGCCACCAGAACACACAAGGTCATCAAAGCCGGGACTAGACAGGTACCACTAGGAAAAATGTAAAGAGGAAGGTGGTGAGCCCAAGCCTCAACTCCCGGGAACACCCACATTTATCAAATGGGAGGATTTCCAGGAAGGGAGGGATCAGTAGTATCAGAGCTCACGTACTATGGTTAAGGTTAACGCGGTTTAATTCTGACCAGGAAGAGGTCTGGGTGGTGGGAGCATAAAAGAGATACTTCTGTGGCGTAGAAACAAGGCAGGGAGTAAGGAGAAGAGTGGGATAAGGAAGTGTAGACTCTTCCTCTGGAAAACTGGGGTCAAGCGGGCAGGAGAGGACAAGACAAGTGTACTTAGGGAAGTTCTCCTCTGGGTGAAGAGACTTTACTATGTGCCTCAGCGACCCTACTACGGGCAATGAGGCCTACTAAGTGCCTTCAAGGCGCTAACACCAGCCTAGGAAGTCCCACTTCCGGCGTCCTCTATGCCTCACAATTCCCCACCTGGATCGAAAGCCAAACCATGAAGCTGCAAGGCCTGCTTAAGAGGGCGTACCCCGCTCGCCCCTTCCTCACTTCGGCTCCCGGCCCGCCCTCTCTCTCCCAGCCACCTCGTGCCCCCACACCCAGCAGCATCCCTCAGCCCCGGGCCTCTCCGCTGCGAAGCCGCACCTCCCCCAGACCCACAGCTCTGAGGCAAAACAGCAGGGGTCCCTGGACCGGGGCCCGGCTCTCTCACCATCGCGGGCGCTGGCTGGGCCGGAAAGCGGAAGTGCGGAAGTGGCCAGCCCCGCGCCGCCTGCCCTTTCGCGAGAAGCGCAGCCTCAGTCTCCGCCCGGACTTCCGGACGGTACCATCTATGATCCGAGCGTAGAAGGGGGTGCTTAGGAACATTTGGTCCTTTGGAGGTTTCCCCGCTAGGGCTGTCTTGACATTTTTAGACTCCTGAAGTCTCAAATCGCTACTCAAGCTTATCCCGTTATCGATGCAGGTCTCGCCTGTGACTTTGGCCTTCTTGTCTTTGCCACTGTCTTTCCCCATTGTCAGGCAGTGGTGCAGCCCGGCCTCAGGTTGGGCACCATATTAGGACAAGGCGAGGCGGAGGAGCCCTTCGTTCCTTCCGGTTCTGCGCCCCTCTCCTTTCTCTGAGCCCCTCCTACTTGCAGCCCCTGGGGCTCGGCGGGACTAACAGCCCGGCGGAGAACTCGGCTATCGAGCCCCGCCCCCAGCCTCAGGCTGTTCCTCAGAGCAGGCCTGAGGCATACCCTTCCCCCCGCCCACCTGCAGCGGGTTCGCTCGCGGCCTGTAAACCCTTCCCCGCAAGCCATATCGGGCTCTCCCTCGCGTCTCCCACCCCCGCGTCCTGGGCAGGGGGCCCGCCCCTAGCCAGTTCCGGGGCGGTTGCTCCCACCAACCGGAACTCCCCGCCCCCTCCCGTGGCCTGGGGGCCGTAGGAGGCAGCAGGAGGCTGCAGTGAGGAGGTAGAGGGGGCGGGGGCTGCGTTAAGGGGTCCCTAGAGGACGGGGACCCTGAAGGCAAGTCACTGGGGCGACCCGCGGGAGGGGCCAGCCATTACACAGGCGCACTTCTGTGCCAGGCACTGAACTGGGCTCTTGACGAGCATCCTCTCTTAATCCTCAGAACATCCCGGGGAGGTAGGTACTGTTGTGATCCCCATTTTACAGATTCAGACTTCTTATGGGGAAACAGACTCAGATTTCTTTTGTCCCCATTTTGTAGATGGAAAAACCGAGACTCAGGAAGGGTAAATAATATGTTCAGAGCTACATAAATAGAGAATGGTAGAGGCTGGGCTTGAACCCAGGTATGTCTGGCTTACCAGCCCACATTCTTAACCACTGTCAGGAGCAAAGAGAAGGGACAAAGATGGGAGGGGGTAAGACAAGGAGAAGCTGGGAGGCACAGAGAACATTAACATTGTAGGAATGGGATGTTTGGAGCTCAGGGGCTTTGCAGAACTCGAGGAGTAGAACGGAAAAGCATCAGAAAGATAGGGCTTGGTATATCACGGAAATTAGTGGCACAGACTCACAACTACATCTCGGTAACCTTGCGCAGGTACCTACGCTTACAGAGTCTGAGTTTCCTTCACTGTAAAGTGTAGATCACCATTGTCCCTTCTCATGGGGTTGGGTGAGGAATTCAGTGAGAAGCCCCTAAAGTGTCTGTACCTAGCTTGATGTACAGTAAGTGCTCTGTGGGTAGGAGCAGTGCCATCAACCTTGTCAATAAGGTACTGAAGCCGGGCTTTCTCCTTGAGTCTGTCCCTGGATGAAGGGAGCTCTTGGACTTTTCTTGTGCCAGTTTATCTCCTACCAATGGCTCTCTCCTCTCCAGTTCCACAGGGTCCCGTATCCTGGGCCATGAGTGAACTGAAGGACTGCCCCTTGCAGTTCCATGACTTCAAGTCTGTGGACCACCTGAAGGTCTGTCCACGCTACACGGCCGTGCTAGCCCGCTCTGAGGATGACGGTATCGGCATCGAGGAGCTGGACACTCTGCAGCTGGAGCTTGAGACCCTGCTTTCCTCTGCCAGCCGGCGCCTGCGGGTTCTCGAGGCTGAAACCCAGGTGATACCCTACAGAGAGGATATCACCAGGGGTGGACTGTGACGAGTTATGGGATGGGTCATTGAGTTAGCCCCACCTGCAGAGGCCTGGGGTACAGGAGCTTAGAGGGCTAAGGAGAGACCCAAGCTGGGCTCACGTGACACATAGAATATACAAGAATGTGCATGGTCCTTATAAATGGCAAGATTTCCAATTTACTAAGCCTTTATTGACCCCAACCTGCATTATGTTCTGGGTCCTGTGCTAGTTATTAGAGAGAGGTAATTAGGACACTCTGGCCTTCAGGGAGTTTGCCAAATAAAGGGAGGGAGAGGTCAGAAGTTATGGTTAGAAGTGTTATGGTTAGAAGTACCAGGGGAACTGGATTGAGAAGACCTGGATTTGAATCCTGGCTTAAGCACTTGCTTAGTGTTGTTGTTTCCTAGCTATATGACTGGGAAAGTTGCCTCCCTTTGCATCAATTCCCTATCTGCAAACTGGGATACCTTTGAGCTTCTGTGAGGATTAAAAGAGAGGGGTTTTTATTGCAAAGCCTCAGGCCGATATCTAACATTAAGTATTTCAGATGTTAATTGTTGGTACTCTTCACTATGTAAACATCCCCTGAGCCCTGTGTGTCAGATGCTATGCCAAATCCTGGGGAGCAGACACAGTCATCTCTAGTAGCTTATAATCTAGTTGAAAAGACAAGGTATGCTGTTCATTCCAGTATGATCAAACAACACATTTAGGCCTGCAGTGGAGGTACAAAGTGTCAGAGACCCAGGGAGGACCAAGATGCCATTTTAATTGGACCTCAAAGGATGAATAGTTAACTTGTGGTCCCTGGGAGTGCACTGAAGCTTTTTGAGCAGGGCTGTGGCATATTCAGTTGTATTTTAGCATGTAAGAAGCTGGGTAACTGATGTGGAGAAGGCTTCCCAGTTGTGGTGACATTTGAAGCGAAGGTCTGCTGGGAGGCTTGTTTGCATTCACCAGAAAGTTACCAGCAGCATATTCCAGTGCTTATATGCACTGGGGCATGATCATTTGTTTGACCTAAACACTGTGTGACTGGCTTGAGTGATACAGAGGCGAATCAGTACAGACAAATGGAATGATGAGAAGTATATGAATAAAGTCCTGTGAGGTAGGCACAGTAAAGGAACTGAGTTTTGAAGGATGAGTAGGAGTTTGCTAAATAAAAGGGGATGGATAAATAAGACTTTGGAGCCTTCTCAAGTTCTAGCTCCTAGTTCTTCACTAGGAGAAAAACTTGTCCTATGACTTCTCTTCTCCCCCTCAGTGATAGTCTCTGCAAATTTCAGATCCTCACTGACTGGCAGGATAAGAAAGGTGATCGACGATTCCTGAAGCTGGGTCGAGACCATGAGCTTGGAGCTCCCCCAAAACATGGAAAGCCGAAGAAGCAGAAACTGGAAGGGAAGGCGGGACATGGGCCAGGCCCTGGCCCTGGCCGGCCCAAATCCAAAAACCTTCAGCCCAAGATCCAGGAATATGAATTCACTGATGACCCAATTGACGTGCCACGGATCCCCAAGAATGATGCCCCCAACAGGTTCTGGGCCAGAAAATATAGAGGGGCCTTGGGATTCAGGCAGTAGAGGCTGTGGAGGGGCCTGGAGCTGAGGATGATGGGGCAGGAGGTGCGCATTCAGGATCTGCTTCTCCTTGCAGGTTCTGGGCTTCCGTAGAGCCCTACTGTGCTGATATCACCACTGAGGAGGTACGCACACTAGAGGAACTACTGAAACCCCCAGAGGACGAGGCTGAACATTACAAGGTAGAAACCCTGGGCCTTGGTAGACAGGGTTTTGAACAGGAGGGCTCAGAGGTGCCTCCGAATCAAAGATCCCAAAGTCATATATCATCTTCCTTCCCCTACTCTGCCCCTAGTCTAGTCAACCCACCCAGACACCCAGGCTCTGATTCTCAGCTCTCTTGCATTGCTTCCTCTCTACCCCATCCAAATGATCACATACATCTTGAGGCATCTACGTCAGTGACACCGTCCTTTGTCCCAACATCTCTGTTACCTCTGCTTTGATTCAAGCCTTCATTAGCTTTCACCCAAATGGTCTCTTAATACTTCCCTGCCTCCAGACAGACTTTTTGTTTTCTTTTTTTAATATATTAAAGTTTTCTTATGATGTAAATAAAACTGGTTCCATTAAAGAAAATGTAGAAAATACAGAAAAGTGTCAGGGAGCACTCTCCTATAGGTCAGCTGTTGTGATCGGATGTGACGCAGGCCTACTCCCAGGCCTCCCCTGACTCCACAAGATAGAGTCCAAGCATTTCGGTCCTTGGTGACACAGCCCTACTGCCCCTCTCCAGTTCCCTCAGCCATGCCCCCTCGTCACTGCTGCATTTACCAGCCCTGCCAGGCACCTTGCCCTCACCCCAGGCCCACCCAGGCTCTTTGCTGGTCTCTGGGCCTCTGTACATGCTCTTTTTCCCTTAGCAAACTAATTCGTCCTTCAAATCACTGATCCCTTGTTATCTCCACCAGAACACCTTTGTAGACTCCCCGCAGAAAGTTTCTTTTTCATGTGCCACAACACCTTGACCTACCTCTAGCACTTCGGTTCTTTGAATTTTTAAAAAAATTATTTGAAAAAGAAATTATTTGAAAAGTTAATTCATATAGGCAGTAGTAAATTCAGGTAATACAAATGAGAATTTCTCCTGACACTAAGGCTCTTAGGTCTCTCTAGGGACAACAGCTATGACCTGAGATGATCCAGGTACATAACACCATTCTGCACCTATATCTTGGAAATTGTTCCATACTGGCTCCCATGTGTGTCTTAGTTGGTTATGTACCTGTCTCTCTTACTAGACTGTGAGCATAGAGATTTTTATCTCCTTTGTTTCTTCCCACCTATGCAAGGCACGGGCCTTAGCCCTGCGGTAAGTCCTTGGGGGACAGATAAGTGAAGGAATGAATGATGAGCCTATTGGCAGTGTCCCAAGTGCACAGAGAGCCCCCACTCACCCAGGGCATGGCTTGCCAGTGTTTACCCCTTTTGGGCCGGGTGGCATCTCCTCACAGATCCCACCCCTGGGGAAGCACTACTCCCAACGGTGGGCGCAGGAGGACCTGCTGGAGGAACAGAAGGACGGGGCCCGAGCAGCAGCTGTGGCTGACAAGAAGAAAGGTCTCATGGGGCCACTGACCGAACTGGACACTAAAGGTAGGCCCCTCGCCTCCCTGCCCACCCCAGGCCAGGACTGGAGTTCCCAGATCTCAGCCCACCTGTCTACCGTCTCTCTGCCCACTTTAGATGTGGATG